CCTTGAAACTGTTTAAATGTTGCTTAATACCAAGGGAAGACTGAGGTAAATTTTTTTAAACTTGAAACTAGAGTGTGGGGCTTTTTTTATTTTATTTAAATGAACGTCTGTTACATTCAAGCTCTTGCCAAACGAGTTCACACAATGCTGTTTAAGCCTATCCTATACATCATAAGCCTGTCAGCAGTGTTGTGTAAGTTCTCTTACTGTCAGAAGGGGGAGACAAAAGTTTCGCTCTGCAGGTGGGCTCGTGGTTGTGAGAATCAAAATGTGTAGTTTTGAGCTTTTGTAGATGTATTTAAAACTTTTTAGCTCACTGATTTCTTCTTTTGCTAGTACAATGAAAAAAAAGTGTCCCTCAGGGATCAACAGTTTAGTCTCGTCTCTTAATAAATTTTCATCATTTTCATCTGTGATTAGTTTGTTGTAAAACCCACATTTTTCCTGAGCCCAAGCTCTTGTAAAACACAGGAATTAACCATCTACTTTAAACTGATTACCCAGGATAACTGATGTTAGATTTAGTTTAGCCAGGTTAAGACAACAACAGCCTAACTAAGATGAATTCACTCAGTGAGACAGTGGATCTATGTCACACAAACATTAGCCAGATTCATCACTTTAAGCCTTAAGAAAGAATTGCACTATTATGTCTTGAAACATAAGTAAAATTCCTTGTATGTATACTTGGCCAATAAAGTTGATACTGATTCATTCTATGCTGTATTTTGCAAAAATAAGTTAAGAGGACAGCTGTGTTCATATATACTGTAAAGCTAAAATGTTTAGCCATCAATTACACATAAGTCATGCTAGGGCAACATATCAATACTTGCAGAGCAAGAAACACCTGAGACTAAATCTGCAGTTAGCATCCTTTTTCTTAATTAATCCGCTGATTAATAATTTCCACTCCATTAGGACAAATGTCCTTTTTAAGTTCCCAGTTCGCAAACAAATGTCTCCACTGCTTATTTAGTGTGATCGAATCACCCAAAAGCATTGAGTTTACAGTTATGTAAAAAAGCTGTAAATCTCCACATTTGTTTTTCTTATGGATTGTTTTTTTGTCAATCAACTAATTAAGTAACTGACAAATGACTTCAGCTTTACATGACAGTTTAAAATGAGAACAACCCCCCCCCCCAAAAAACATACATAACAGACCCAAAGCAAGAAGTAATGTATGGAGTCCACATCGCTTTAGCTGCTAATGTTTGTGTGTGAGACTGATTCTTGATATTAGATGATTCTGCATAAGCCTGTATTACATTCAATGATAATGTTTTTTATGTTAAAATCTAAAAGTGTATTTTCCGCAATATCTGTACAGGGAAACTATGCTATGGTTACAGTAAGGGGAAAATCATGGTTATGGGAAATAAGTGGTAAAAATCAAATGTTATTTGCACGTCTGTCATCGGTCACAAAAAATAGAATGTGACAACTTGCACTGAAAGGGCAACTGGCTGTGCAAGTATTTTCCCTACTTAACCACTTTAACTCTATATAATATGCACCTAAATATATGCTTGTGCCCAAATTTTATCTTCTTTAATTTAATGTGGGAAAGATATATTATATATTACCACCAAACAGGCACAAGTGGGAGAAGATGTTCCTCCCTGCCCTAAAAGTCAAAGATTTTTTTTTTTTACAGTGCACTGCAGCATAAAAACCCAAACAGTCAGAGAGCGATAACCTGTGTGCTTTTTCTTGGGGAACCAATGTCAGTGTTTTCTTTGACTAGTAAACTAATTAGAGCATGATAAAGGACTTCATTAAAAATCAAACACAACAAGGTGGTGCCAAGCCAAGCCAGAATCAATATCAACAAAAGGCACAAAACAAACACAAAATTCATACGTGTCCTTTCAGCTGCCCACTTAATCCATCAGTCGATATGAATAGCACTGCACATTCTGACTCTACCCGGTGACGGCAGAAAGACATCCGCGGAAGCACAATCAATACGGTGACTAACGTGGAATTCAGCGAGCACAATCCCCCCACTGGGCTTCTCTAAGAGCAATAATGCAACTTAAGTATGTTCAGCTGGGGAAGAATTTTCACAGTAGCTCCAGAAAGCTGGGTTCTGCCTAAGTGCACAACATTTGAAAAAGGCCTTTTCTGTTTTCTGAGCTATAGGAGAGCTGAAAGGTATGTGATTACAGTGACATGAGTGAAGTTGGGGGCTCTTAAAGAGGAAATGTTACACTCGTGCCTGTGCAGTTGACGTGGAGTGGTGCCAGGCTACCTTAAGGCCAGTGTTACTTCCTCTTAGTGTAAAACATAAAGCCTTCTATTTAATGTGAGACAACATGACAACATTCAAGGCCTCTGTGAGGGAAAAGAAAAAGAGACGGCAGCCTGGGCTCTTAAGTGGACGTGACATGTCATGATCAAAGGAGAGGCTCAGGACTTACAAGCTCGCACAGGGTCAGAGGGAAGCCTCAAACGACCCCACCAGGCACAACATTCAGCAGCCGCTCTGATCTGTGAAATCGGAATTCTGAGTGAAAATTAAAAAAAAATGACTCTTCAGCAACAATAGTATGTCATTTGCAATTTAAATAGCGTCAGCAGTTGATACAAATCTGTGATCTCTCCGGGCTCGAGATCCAAACAAATGCAACAGACTCAAAGTGTGAAATAACAGGCTGTAAAAACACAGCATGCCAAAATATTCTCCCTCCTCCATTCTTTCCCTCCCCTCCACTTGCCCCTGCTATACCAGCAGCATGTCACTGAATGAAATGCAGCGTGCAATTACCCATTATCCAATCAACTGGAGTCGACACTTAACCATTTGCACGGCTTTGGGCACAGCCAATTATCGGTCAGGCCTATCAGTGTGCTCTCAATACGCGTTGCATAATCGTATGGCACCGGATTCACGCCACACCACCAGAGACAGAGGAGGGCTGGAGGAGAGCTAGGCTGCTGTCTGAGGGGTCATTGTTGTCATCTGTGGCTGGCAGGATGAAACAAGGTCTGGTCAGTGACAACAGCAGCGACTCGGGTTCCCGCACCCTGGGGCCTTAGCCATTAGAATACATAATGCAGAGCTAGTCATTTGGAAGGGCTCCAGATCGTGCTCTTCAAAACCCTCATAGATAATTTGCTACATCGCATCATCCTCCCTCTCACTCTCCCACCAACCAATCCCCCCCCCACACACACACACCTTCCTTGAATCTCGGCCTTGACCTCACAGCACTTGCCCCCTATCCTGCGCTCTCACTAAATCAGCATCCCACCACCCAGCCCCTATAAATCCAGACTGGTCCAGTCAGTGAGTCAGTCAATGGTGGCCGGTGGCTAGTTGACCCCCCGAGGGCCTGCAAGCACTGGGGCCCCAGCTGAGGAGCTAGGGCAGCTGCCAACCACCGACCACTTCAACCCTGGCTGTCCGGATGATTGCGTTTGTCAAGCCGCCACTCCGCGTCAGCCCAGCGCAGGTCTGATCAGACAATTAGGGGTTAAAGAGAGGGAGGGGATGCCATCTCTGGTGGAGAGGAGTTATAATTGAGGTTGCGGGAAGGCGGGGGCGGGCTTCATCCACTCAGGCAGTGAAGAAGCAGGTTCCATGTTTTTTTTTGCATCTGGTGAGAAATCTGTGCGATGTCCCTCTCATCACTCCTCCGTGGCTGCAGCCCATGTCTCTGCTCCACACATCCACACACAGCTTCACTTATATCAGCCAGATTGAACACGTAATGTGTTGTTATTTTCACCCACTGTAACCCCATGAATGGAAGCAGCCACTCATTGTCAGAGTGAAACAGTCTGAGCAAATACAGATTTCACTGCTTTAAACATCTGTCTGATTATTTTAAATGTAATTTTGTATTGCCAAATCTTGATGTATATCAATATCAGAAAATATTGTAATTCATATCATATAAAGTGTATTTCCTCTGGGATCATTTTTGCTACTTTACTGTTTTTTCCGCTGTTATGTACAACAGTGGATAATTATAAAGTAACGTGGTTCCAAATTGTCCAATTTTTTTATTCAGCGATTCAAATATGATAATCAAATAACCAAACAGTAATTCAGCCTGATTATCAGGCTACTAGTTGAGCCCTGACAAGATGGAAAGAACTCAGTATGATAACAAAAGCATAGATACATGTGGATCCACACACTCACCCCACTGCCTCCAAAACCTCCTTAATACATCATATGCTGCATTAATATTTTGAAAAGCCTCCTTTGATAAATGTATTAGTTGACTCATTGCAACATGTGGTTTATTTTATAACTGTAAGACTATTTTGGTGTTGTTAAATGTCTTTATTCAGAAGGATGGCACGCAGTACACTGATCTGGACATGCCCCTGCCATCACAGGGAGAGACAAAGGGAGCTGGTTATCTGTAAATATATAAATCATGCTTGTTACAAACATACTGTGGACATTCCCCAAACCAACGGTTATTTTCTTATCTATGAAACTGGCTCCCTCTAGTGGTTTTGACGCTACACTGATCTACTCAGAAAAGTCAGTGTAAGATACTAGTCAGCAGCACTGGAGGTGAGCAGAACAAACAAGACAGCAAGCCCGTCTTACTGTCAGGGTGGACAGGTTATTCTGCATGACATTACTGCCCCCACAACACTGGAGTCACAACATCATTTTGTTTTCAAAACAAATACCATGGCATGAATTTCAACGATTTAGCTATATGGAAAGTTATTAGATTAATTTTCTTTTTAAAAATGAAGAATAATACTAAAAGGGATACATCAAATCAAATAAATGAACAGACTTAATTATGATATGCTATGATAATCCTTTCAGAGCACTTAATAAAGACCAAAAAATTTAATTAAAACGGGGCATTAATCAACATGTGATTTAAAAAAACTTAGATTTGCAAGCTTGTGAGTCATCACTCCTCTTTGTGCGTTGAAATGTAAAGATAGGTGACAAATTAAAGGAAGAAAACAACACATAGTGTCTTAGTATGGAGTCAGGCCACCATCAGAACAGCTTCAGTCTCCTGCAAAGTATACAACCTTTATTTAATCAGGTCATCTCATTGAGATCAAGCCAGACCTGAGAACAGCAGATAGGAAGAAACACAAACACCCCAGACTAAACAAAAAGACATGTAGCATCAAAGACATTCACAGACATTAATCACCTAATACTGTAAGTTTAGATCATTTGGTCTTGGTGGTAGAGAGCATTGTCTTACAAGCTGGTCCAAAATCTTCTACAAGTGTGAAACTGGGCTGAGATCTGGGGACTGCAAAGGTCATATCATTTTATTCACATTATTTTTTTCACTCACCAAACCACTGAGCGAGCCCTGGTGCACAGAGGCACTTGATACATTTCCTTCACTCTTTTATTCAGGTTTATCCTTTAATTTGTCCCATGTCTGTGTAACTATCAGCTAGATCAGCTATCAGCAGGTGCTGGCTGTAGAAAATATTAGATAAGAGTGGATTTAATGGACTAATTATAGAAATGCGTTGATTTGCAGAATGTGCATCGGTGTGTTGCAAAGAAGTGCTGCACCTGGTTAAAGCAGAGATTCCCCCAGAGAACTCTCTGCAGCTATAAATACCTGCCAACCACAATGTAAAGTTTGGGAGTATTTTAGAGCCAACAACGTGGTTAACGTTCCTCTGTAAACTCTCGTCAAGATTGCAGCAAATACTGTTTACTTTTTGTCCCCGCACAAGCTCAATATATTAGGGTGATCAACCCGAGGAGTGCGTTTCAGTTAGTTGTCAATTGAAATTAATTGTCTAAATGTTTAAAAGTACCTCCATGTTAAAAGTCATTTCTGCACCCCTAATGTCATGGTACCATTACATCAAGCGCCATCTAACGTTTTAGTTATTTTCTTTACCCCACACACTGATACAATACCAGGGATTATCTCAGTAAATAAATCAGGTCCAGTATTTTTCTGATCAGGCATCCGACACATAGGGTTTGTTTTTATTATTATCATCATAACACAGCAGGGACTTGGAAATTACACTCATTTTAAAATATGCTACTATTATCATTATTCTAATGTGATTTATGTGTCTCTTATTCAGGATGATTGAATACAATATTGAATTATTAATAAGACAAGTTTATATTTATTTTGGAAGCATTTATTGTTATATTAATATAGTAATATATTAAAATCAATAAATTAGTGATTAGATATTAAAAATAATGGTTAGGTTCAGCCCTATTTTATACACTTCAATGATAAACCACAGAATGACATCAAATAATTATCAAATAAATGTTTCACCTCTGTCAATATGCACTCTCCCTCTCTCTCTCGCTCGGCCCAACACATGCACACATTACTTCTCCCTCCCTTTCTCTTTCTTTCTTTCTTGTTGCCTTTCTCTCCTGTTCAGCTCAGTGCAGTGTGCTTTTTTGGCATGAAGGTTTCATTTCAACAATGTTGCCAAGGCAGTTTGCTACAAAATCAAAAAAGTTTACATTTAAATATGACATAACAAGATGAATCCAATCAAGAGCATTCAATGTATCAGTTATGAATTACAAAATCCAAAATTACAAATACAGATAGAACGTAAACTACAAATAACAGTGAAAAAAGTTCTCTCTCTCTCTTTTCAGTGAGTTGGTTAAATAGTGTTTAAATCTCGGTATCGATGAATCAATTTCCTGGAAGAAACAGGGAGAACGGTCATGAAGGAGGTTCTGAATGAGATATTTGAATCACAAGGTTTGTGATCATCAGTATGATGTGACCGTCAAAGATATCTTTCAGGCTACAGTGGCATCATCAGCATCACTGCTCAACTATGGAGCTGTCCTCAGTTTTGGGTGAGGAGGCAGGCCCTGGTCTTTCGCTGTGCTGGTTTTCTGTTTGGCTCTCCTGGTTGGCTGTCCTACACCATCAGTAGGGTGTGGGCCTTTACCCAGGAGGAAGTGCTCCCAAGCTGGTATAGACTCTTCCACAGATGCCCAATATCCTGTCTAGAAAAGAGAAACAATACAGTTGCAGGACAAAGTATGTGAACCATTTGGAATTACCTGGATTTCTACACAAATTGGTCATAAAATGTGATCTGATTTTGAAACTGTTTCAGTTCAGCAGTATTCTTGGGATATCTGGTATCCTGTCAGCACAGCGTGCCAGTGAAAAGCAGGAGCTGCGCATTGATATTATTGAGCATATTAACAGTACAAACCTTGTCAGTGAACTATGAGGGCAAAAAGCAAATACAAAACAATCGTTCATTATCGAGGTAAAATGTTCTATTAATCGTGATTTTAGGTCATATTGTAGAGCCCTAATAGAGAGCCCAAGTCCCTCCGCTTCCGGTGAACCTTAGTTTAGAAAAAATATGTACGGTAGTCAATGGCAAGAGTTTGAATTGTGCTCTGAATTACGATGATGGTCAATTTAAAATGTACATTTAAAAGTCAAGAAAGTTGCAGTTTAATGTAAATCTGTTGAGGTATAAGATTGTGAAAACACGTTATTACAAAGGCCACAAACCCAAAAGTTGCGTATGTGACGTAACTTTTTCTCTCAATGACTGAAGCTAACGTCACCGAACATATATGTGTAGATGACGTGATAAAAGGACAGAGTCGTTGGATAAACACATCAGGTAACATATATTTCGGTGTGGAACATAGCTAAGTTATCTAGCTAGCAGCAACCAAGCGGTGAATGTTAGCTAGCATTCCCGCGCTAACATGTTGGTGACATATATTGTGCGAGACGACAGATGTAGCTCATTGAACGGTTTTAACACAAAACAACATGTAACTTTACTGTTTTTCGACAAACTGCAACTTTCTTGACAGAAAAAATTATCTTTTAAATTGACAATCATCATAAGTGTAATTCAGAGCACAGTTCAAACAGGATAAAAAAAAAAAGGTTTTCTCTCACCATTGAGTACCATACATGTTTTTGTCGAAAAAAGTTCCCACGGTCTGGAAGCGGAAGCGAGGGACTGAAGTGCAATTTATACTTGTGCGTTGGTGTCTCTGTCGTTCTGCAATTACACCACCAAACTCTAGTTGGCAGTAGCACTACAGCGTCCACTGTGTTGACTTTTGCTGGCCGAGCAGGCTAACTTCCGGTTTAGCGCTCCGCTAACTTGAATGGGGGTAAAATTATATACATCGGCAGGTATAGACTTTTCAAATGTTATTGTATGAATGGATCGCATTCTGATAGTGAACCGAGTCATTTGGCCGCTAGTGACATTTACTTCAAAGCATGGAGCACTTCCTGTCGGCTCGGAGCCATTGCGGGGCTACCCAGCCGAACAATCACAGTTCTTATGGTCCACGTCGCCCCAACGTGTAGTTACATTTTTGAGGATGTGCACGTCAGGCCACGGCGTAGGGTACGGGGCTACTTGTAGGCTCTGCTGTCAATTTGACGCAGAAGTATAAATCCCAATTTAGGCTCTAGTGTGTCAGAGAGGTAGAGAGGTGTTAGAGAGGTAATGCCACAGCATCTCAATCGGGTTGAGGTCAGGACTCTTACTGGGCCACTCCAGAAAGAGTATTTTCTTCTGCTGAAGCTAGTCTGTTGTTGATTTACTTCAGTGCTTTGGGTTGTCCTGTTGCATTACCCATCTTCTGTTGAGCTTTAATTGGCGGACAGATGGCCTTACATTAAGGTTTGATATTTGTTTCAGTAGAATCCGAATTTGAATTGCTCAACTTGATAATTGCATTAAAAAACTGAACCTGAATAGCATAATTTGAAATTGAATTTATAAGTTTAAAACTTAATTCCAATAAACTGCAAATTGAATGTAATATCATGAAATTGTCTTCAGTTGCAACTGAAACTGTGTTTGTGTTCCTTCCTCATCATGTCAATTTTCTTTGACCAAGAGCTATAAGAGCTGTTAACAGACTAGCTACAAAAAAAAAGGAAACGTGAACCTGTGATGTAAGACACCATCAGAAAATTCACACACCGTTGTATGTATCAAAAACTTGTTACCTCCAGAGCCAGGAAATGTGGGCTTGGCAGCAGTTTTCCTCTGAGGCGATCTTCTATCTTCTGTAAATCCTGCATTAAAAAAAAGACACAGTCATCGACACACTCTTTAATCTTTGTGCAAATCTTATCCCTACAATTTCGTCAGTTAAAATCAATATTATCTAAATGTTGATAATATTACTTTATAAAGCACTACTTTGGATAGGTTACGGACACACTTAATAAATCGGCAGCGATTTTCAGAGGGTATGAGATTTTTATTTACTCGTTATCCTCGCTATGGCAACCTGAAAAGTATGTAAACTTGGCAAAAAATAAAACGTCCCTTTTTCAGGACCCTGTAAGATAATTCTGTAAAAATCCAAATGACTTCACAGATCTTTATTGTAAAGGGTGTAAACAATGTTTTTCATGCTTGTTCAGAGAACCATAAACAGTCAATGAACATGCACCTGTGGAATTGTGGTTTAGACCCTAACAGCATGCAGATGGTAGGCAATTAAGGTCACAGTTCTAAAAACTAAGAACACTTAAGAGACCTCTCTACTGACTCTGAAAACACCAAAAGAAAGATGCCCAGGGTCCCTGCTCATCTGCACAAACCTGCCTTAGGAAAACTGCAAGGAGGCATTAGGACTGCCGATGTTTCCAGGGCAATAAATTGCAATGTCTGTGCTGTGAGATGCCTAAGAAAGCTCTACAGGGAGACAGGAAGGACAGCTGATCGTCCTCGCAGTGTCAGACCATATGTGACAACACCTGCACAGGACCAAAGGGCCCCCCCAGATGCTGATAGTTACTTTTGATTTTGACCCCTTCTTTGTTCAGGGACACATTGTTCCATTTCTGTTAATCCCATGTCTGTGAAACTTTGTTCAGTTTATTTCTTAGTTGATGATTGTTTTGCTGAGTATAGATGCAGCAGCCAGTAGCTCCTTCAAACAGCGCTACACTTGTGTTTTTCATCTGTTTTTTCCAGCTGTATTGCCGAAACACGTATCACCTATGACAGAAATTCATCTGAAATGGAGGACAGAGTTTTAGGATTAAAGAGCAGCAGACCTTTAGATGATTCACCAGCTAAATCAACCACACCAGGTACCACGGCGGGTGCAGTGATTGCTCAGTAGAGAGAGGAAAGAGAACCGGCAAAGAAGCCATGTTGGCCCAGTTTTGACTAAAGGCTGCTCCCAAAGGTCCAGTCTGGACAAAATGGGACTCGTGTTGGCCAAGCAATGGAAATCAGAGACTGTTGTGCCCACCTGGTCAAAGAGACCTGCCCCATCACCATCCCTGATCAAGCACTCGGAAAGCTGACCATGTTCCCAGTTGTCCGGCCAGATGAGACGCTTGGTGCTCAAACTGTCAACATAGACACTGTTTCCCAAATGTCAGCCTTTTTTTATGATGAAAACCATTTTATCATCTTGTTGCCGCTCACCCAAGACAGACATGTAAAAATTTTTAACATTCTACCGAATGTTCTGTGTGCACACTGCAACAAGATGTACAACAGCGGCCACCTTTGATGATTTAATTTTAGATGAATCCACTGATTAGTTTTTGATTAGCTGTTTAGTCAATTACAATGTCAAAAAAAAAAACAACAGTAAATTAAAAACAACTTTAAATGTCTTGACATCTCTGAAAACCAGAGGAAGCTGCAATTCTTCACATGGCTATGATCACTTCAAAGACAATTCACTGATTATCAAAACTGCTGTTACTTACTACTGAATGAATCTGTCTAAGCACTAGTTGCAGAAAAGAAACAGGAGAGGACATGCCCACACAGTCCTGAGTAGACCTATAATCAGCTGTGTGGGTGGACCACATTCAATCAGTAATGTGATGGCTCTTCAGCAGAATGTAAAATCAAAGCCTTCCTACCTGCAGCAGTGTGGCGTTCCTGTGGCGAGCGGCCTCACTTTCCTTCACCTGCTGCTTCCTCTGGATCTTCAGCTGCTTCCCGCGATTCACCATCTGCTCCAGAAGCTCTGCTCTCTGGTCTAAACTGATGTCACACACAGTGTCAGGAGTAGAAAGCTTGCCACCATATTTCACTACTAATATGAACATTAGTCCAGTTCACACTGACTGGTGGCTGTTTTGCTCCTAAGCAAAGTTACGTCCTTGTTTAGATTGACAGTATTGTTGTTGTTTTTTTAAATTTCAAAACAATATGACGTGTCACTGTTTCTACTGACTGACTGAGCTGAAACTATCATGTTAAAGTTAGTGGATTAAACAATGTGTTGATCAACAGAAAATGAATCAGGTCTTAATTGCGTTATTATTTTTCCGTTTAACTTCAGTGCTGGAATAACGTTTCCCGCCACGAGTGTTTTTCACGCAGGCTTTTCATGTTGTTAAAATCAATAACAAACAGCAAATACACGCGTAGACTCACTTAAAGTCTGCATGTACTAACTGTGCAGACAGACAGGAGAGTCGCAGGTTAGCGTTATTCTTTATAGAAGAATCACAGTTGAAACTCAATCCAATGGACCAATAGTAGTTAGTATTGATGATGGTAAACTCACATTTCCTCGTGTCTCTCAATTAATTTAATTTCTTCAGGTACAGAAGCAGACATAGCTGGACGCATGAAGCCCTTCCTGTGATCCCCCGAAGTGTCCAAGCTAACCAGTGTGACGCAACCGGAACGGAAAAGATTTCCACTTCAAAATAAAAGCGCTATTTGTTTAGGGAGTGTAATAGCAATCTTGCCATCACAGGAGAAAATCGCGTTAGATCTTAGAAGACGTTTCGTCCCTCTAGTATCTTCAACCAAGTCCAGTTGCCCTTGACTTTAACCTTCTTTGGATAACTAGGACCTGGATGACTGAGAATTTTCACAGACGTTAGACCTTTAGTTTTTTTTTTTTTTAAAGTTATACTAATATAACGTATAAAATAATAACGCCTATGAGAATATGATTATCACTCTGTATTAAAATTCCAAACTTTAACTTCAAAAATATTTTGAAACTTTTGTTCGGAAGTTTCAATGCTTATTTTCGAAAACTTAACAGCTTATCCGAGGCGTTCAGTAACCATGGTAATCAAGACAGCAGGTACCCTCTGCTCCCTGTTGGTTATATTTCAGAAAGCAGTTGATGATGCAAATGGATTTTCCTGGTATTTCATTATTCAACGTAGAACTTTTTGTATCTGCTTTCTAAAGTCAGACTTTTTCTGGTAGATGTATGGAGTCAAATTTGGTTTTATCTTTAACATTCTCTCAATTCAAATCAGCTTTATTGGCATGAATGTAAAACAATATTGCCAAAGCTACAAATAACATTTCATTAAATAAGCAAACGAAAACAGTAAAAGTATGTGTGCGTGTTAAAAAAGTAACCGCAGTCCGACCACTCTAAAGAAAGCTCTGCTCCAGTTCTGTTCAGCTGTGTATCACTCAACTCACAAAACGCACAGGGTTATTAGCCGACTAATAAAAACAACAAACGCAGCAATATACATTTAAAGTTACAACCGCTGACTTACTTTTGTTGTTTTCGCTGTTTTCAGTCCAAAAACAGCTCGAGGTGCGGGACTCAAGTCTCTGAGCTAGAGTCCAATCAAGCCTCAAGTCTTTTGTGGTTTTAATGAATGTTGTATCACCTGCTGCGTTCAATCCAGGCTTTTTTTTTGAGTACATCTACAGGCTGACATGTGTAAAGTTTTCTTCCTTTCCAAGTATCAACAAGGATCTTTGTTTGCGTTCAGCTGCCCATTCCACACCTGCGCAGTGTGTACCACAGTCGCTCTCGCGCATCAGTGGAACGTAACGTGTTGGGCAGTAATACTGTAATATTAATTTCCCCAGTAAAGTGTGTAGTGTGACGGATTTCCAAAACAGTAATTACAGTCACATTAAGGCTGTCCGACTGAACGCTCCATCCCTGACGTGAATGAGCGACCGCGCTGCGGCTCAGCGGGACCGGACCGTATCAGCTATTAGCCAAAAAGGAAGACAGGAGAACAGGGAGGAGAGGGATTTGCAACAGCTGGAAGTAACGTTGTTGCCATTATTGTGTCACGGTCTAAGATACAAAGAACATTGTCGTCTGTTGTAAACTTTGCGCGACCAGCAAAAAGCTTTTAACCGCGAACAATTCTACAGTGACTTAGGCTAATTGAAGCATCAGCTAAAGCAACACAGCAACGTGAAACTCCGAAAGAAACTCTGACCGCTACTGCCAGTGATGCTTGGACTCATCGTGAGAGAGAGTGGCGTTATATCACCCAGTAATAAATAGGCTAGAGTAGCTAATATTACTTTTTTAAGGAGTAGCCTATATGCTAAGTAACTTAGGTAATAGCTATATTATTTCTGAGTAACTTGCCCAACACTGAGTTGACAATAAGCATCGGATAAATTGGGTATGATAATGTTTACTTTGACTTTGTTATCGATTGATCACTCATATAGCCTATATACACTTTGCTGTATGAGTGGTTACTTTTTACGTCTTTATGTCCTTATGTTAAAGGTTTTGGCAAGTTATAAAATAATTTCTTGTGAATGGTTGTGACGGGGTTTATAAAAGGCCTTTTCAGACGGCTTTGATCCGCGGGGTCGCTCTGCGCTCCTCATCAACAGACAGGCAAACAAGCGCTCCCTGTGGTAACCATGGCAACGGCTTCTGTGTAACTGACGCTATCCTGTGAAACTGTCGCGGTCGTTCTCGTCTCACGCACACGCCTGCCCGCTGCCCGAGTTGAAATGCCAAACATTTTCCTACAGTTTATCAATAGACAGAGACTGATCTGGCTGTTTGATCAGAGTTTCCTGAATAATTTAACTGTTTCTTTAACAGGCAACAAACTTTGCTGCTGTCTCTTATTCATTAAAAATGATCTATTAACTTCTACTAAACTAATTTGAAAGTTAGTTATATTAGTTGCATGTTGCACATTTAGCTGTTGAAGCTTGGTAAAAAATGAATACTAAATAATATTATTATAGAGAGGTGGCAAAGGCGCAGTGGATTAGAAACTTGTCACTGCAACACATCCACCAAATAAGTTATTGTCATGGGTCCCGCTTTACCATCCATATGCTATAATAGAGCCGCCGCCAGTTTTATCGGGGTGTGGGGGGGTCTCAGTATATTTTCCTGCTTTTTTGCCCTTTGCCAATCACATGCCTGAATTAATGACAGCTTATTAACTACTGTATGTCAACACACCCTGCTGACTCTCAAACCAGTGTAACGTTAACTAAATAAAACTTTAACATTAACATTACATTATCAACAATAAACCTGTGACCTGTTTTTCACTTACAAAGCACAACCATGTAATGCAATTAATTACAGCTTATTAACTAGCCTACTGTAAGTCAACAAACCCTGCAGACTCTCAAACTCAGTGTAACGTTAACTTAATAAAACTGTAACGTTACATGATCAACAAAAACCCTGTAACTTGTTTTTCACAGAGCACAACCATGTAATATTCAATGCAATCACTGACAGCTTATTAACTGCTGTATGTCAACACACCCTGCTGACTCTCAAACCAGTGTAACGTTAACTAAATAAAACTGTAACGTTGCATTATCAACAATAAACCTGTAACCTGTTTGCAACCGACATTAATAATTAACGTGATGGCAGCCAGCGGGATGTAAATGATTGTTATTAACCACCACAAGTTTGGCAAGCTAACAAACGCTCATTCATCTTTTCATAACATAGTTGGAGTTAACCTTCCGTAGGTTGTAGCTAAAGCACGTTAGATGTCAATACTTAGCTAAACATGCATGCAGCGCTTATTTGTTTGGGTCTTATTGTATGAAGTTTTAAAACCAAAGTTTATGATGAATGGCGGAGCAGCTGCCGGTGTTTGTTGTCCTCTCTCACGTGATGCTACGTATTACGTAGGCAGTATAGGTAACGGAGGGAGGGGAATAACAGCAAGCTTATCAGACGTTTCCTAAAAAATAAACATTGTTCAAGATTCCCTCACCTCGAGTCTGAGTCAAGTCTAAAGTCTTTTGAGGATGAGTCACAAACTCAAGTCCCCATCTCTGGTTCAAGGCGCCACCGTTTCTGTTGAAATAAATGTTTTGCTACGTTTTGTCGGTACTGAACTCAGCCTGGGTCACAGAGAGCTGTGAAGAAGGTAGTAGAAGCACAAAAAGGACAAACAACAAGTGTGTACACCTTTGTTTAATCTCACAGTATCTGCCAGTTTCCCGTGTCTTGCATTTAGGCCCTAACCTGTTTGCACTCGGCTAAACGTGAGCTACTCTCTTAAATTTAAGAGCATTTTAAAGCTAGGGTGGGCAATTTATTTCAGTTGAAAATAACTTTACATCCCAACAGCAATCAATAAATCAAATGCCCTGACACAAAAGAAACAAATCCTGTTTGTTGGCTGTCAAGGGGCTGTAAAAAGCACATTCAGGGCCGAATCAGGCCGAATGAAATGATTGGTTGGCCTACCTACCTGTCTACCTACCTACTTACCTTCGCGTACTCTGCCTTCACTCACTACACATGAAAATGTTTTTGGGGCAGTGGCTGTAGAGGGAGCTCTGAAAGGAGGAGGTACGATTTTTTCCAGTTAGATACTTTCTATATCTACAGTAGGTGTCTCTTGCTAGATTCTCCAGCTTTTCCCATCCCAGCTTTAAGTAAAACTAAATTTGATAAATAGCTTTTATTTATATATTTGTGAGAAGTATTTTTGCGTTTATCTTCCACATCCAAAATTTCCCTTTTAGCAAACATAAGAGTAGATTCCAAATGTGCATTCCCAATACTAAAGTATTAATGTCTTTGTTTGATCAGTAATGGAGGCTCACACATTTCAGTGAAATTAGAAACAAGTAGCTGGTAACAAAGTGGATACATTATGTGTGCTAAAGAGAGTAAGATATTTCTTTCGGGAGTTGGTGCATGCAACCTGATCTAAAACCCACTAAATACTGGACTTTCAACAACAGTAACAGAGCCTGTAGAAAAGAAACTACAAAACACAGAAAAGCACAAATATCATCATACAAATGATTTCGGAAAATTACATCAAAATTCATTTTTATTTTATGTATATCAATACCATTTACATATTAAACAACACTGTAGTATAATGCTTTAATATACCTTCCAACAAAACAAAAATAAATCTGTCTTTATGTCCTATTTCATGTTACAAAAGAGGAAGGAACACCCACCATTCCAGAATGGGTCAATGGAGACGAAAATATCTAGTGACTTGCAAGAGAGCTATTCTTGTCTGTTCATGTCTGACAACAGAATCATGGGCTCCAGACAAAAACCAGAAGCCAAAAAATAAAAAAAAGTGTGAATAATGTTATAAAATCATAATAACTGCCTGAATGTTAATGGAGGGTGTGACGCTGGAAACTGGAATGTGATGATGACTATTAGCTGGACGCATGACACCTGGCTTCCACAGGATCCACCACAAACAGCGATGCCATGAATGAGTTCAAATAAGGGAAAGCAGATTGAAAATATTTATAATTATAGACCAAACACCTGTGTCAGATTTGAAATCTTGCGGGAGATTTGTGGTACGTTCAGTCAAGAAATGGTGAAAGAATTCAATTTGGGTTTCAAAATCATCTTAGGACAAAAGAGAGAGACTGAAAATTTGTAATGATGGAATTTCAAATGTGATGAAATATTTCCTGTGACACAGTCGATACATGCACAGTCTCCAGAAAATGGCCGGATTACAGTAGCAACAAATATATGTACATGTCTTATTGACCCTACAGCTGCGTGTGCATTTCAAAGGCAACACTGATCACTTTACATTCTGAAAGATCACAATGATCAAAATCACTTGGAATGGGGACAGGAAAAATGGTAGTGACCATCTTAAAGGCCCTGTCACACCAGCGTTTTTAACAGCAAAATTTCAGAAATCAGTTAATTTCACTCAATCAATAAATTCGATGTGCAATTCTAAGATGTTAAGCACATGCATACTCGACATTGCTAACCTTTCAGTGATTGGAAATGCAGTATGGCCTGCAGTCAGTCATGATACAGATAGTGGATATATTTCTGAATATAACTTACTGTCCTATCAGCAACTAGTAGCAAGCCAACTAGTAAGGCAAGCTATGTAGACCGCCTAGCTCTAATTTAACTTATTGCGATAATGCGCAAATAAATGTAGTTGTGCCACTTTCTAGTGTTACCCAGTAAGGCACACAGATAAAGTGTGATGGGGGGTTGGGGGGAGAAAAATTGGCAAAAGAGAGAGAAAAGCTTGCCTAACATTTTTTTCTGTGAAGGAAGGATTCAAGTCTTTGGTAAAAGTTAAAAAAAAATCAAAATACATTTGTCCCTGCTGTCACATATTCATTCAAAATGCAAAACCACAGGTGTTCATTTCATGCCATCAATCACAGAGGTACAGAATACCATCAAAACGAGCTGCAAAATTAGAAATGTGTGTGTATAAGGGATTGCTGCAGCGAAAACAGGAAACATTTCAGACTCTACTCTGCTTGTAAGCCACAAAACCACTGAAAATGCATCTCTGGAGATAAGGGAGTGAGGAACAGAAGCTATGTACACAAGGCCTTTGGAGATTGGAGTGAGTGATCACACCACTGTCAGCGAGCACGGATGGTTTTCTCCAAAATGCAGTTTTTGCTCGTCATTTACTTTAATAATACATAATCCACATAAAGTGTTAAAGAGAGCACTTCTTTTCTAATTTGTAACACATCAAAAATATGCCTCTCCATGTACTATGGCAGCTAAATCACACCTGGTAAAAGACCTGGATTTTATGACATGGTAGAAGGTTTTGTCTACAAACTGGTGATAAACCTGTGTATGGTAAAACAGCATAAGTGTCTGTTTCTGTGTTTACGGCTGGTTCAACGACAAGAGTGAAAGTTTGCCAGGCTACATCGTCAAAGAGTAATGTGTAACTTGGAGACCGCTGCTGTTTTATTGTCAACTTAAGCCTTTTTTACACTTACTACTACTTACAGCTCCAAGTACAGGTGTGAATGCACCCAAGATGTATTGAGGACGCATTGAGGTCTGATCGCTAAGACCATTTTGAAAGGTGATCTGGACCACATACGGCCACATTCTTTTAGCAGTGTGTATGTGAATGTGTCCCGGGCCACAATTAAGGACCGCCTACTCAACTGACGTCCTCTGTGTGATATGAAGTTAAGTGCAAAATAGCGAGATTTTAGATTAGATGGATACCAGTTTCGCGTTAAGTTGTACTACTTCCCCCTACTCTGCCTTTGATTGGCTAACCGTAACCCCACCCAAACTAACAAACAAAGGCAACGGGTCCTAGCCAATCAGAGCAGAGTTGTCGAAAATCTGGTGAAAAAAATGAAGCTACAATAACAAAGGGCAAAATTGTTTCAAGTGGATGGAGCACGCACAAACACATGAAACACACTGGCTGATGTCCTGCAGCTGCTCTGCCTCATCTCTTTGTGAGTTTTCTGATCGAGAGATAGCTTTACTTGTTGCCGCTAGCTGCACAGCTAACTGTAGCTGTTAAACCGTGGAATTAGCGGCACAATTAACTCTAGCTAACTCTTTCCAGCCTATGACCTCAGAGCACCGGGGGAGTGTTTACACCGCTTGCACAGGAGCTGTGGACCGCCAGGAGGAGGAGGTTTAACTTAATAAAGCTAATACAATCTTTATTGAAGCTTTGAAGCTAAAAGGGCCACAAGCTGCTTGGCTGACTAGCTAACAGCAGCTAGCAGCAATTAGCACTTAATTTTGCAACAAGTAAAGCTATCGTTCCATCAGAAAACTCCATAAATCACAGAGAGTTGAGGCAGAGCAGCCAGAGGACATCTGAGGGAATACCAGAGAATATATTCTCCGTAAAAAATGATCCAGTTTCACCAAAATCAGTCAATGAAGTTGTGCTTTTGAACAGCAATCAGTGAGGCTGGCCCCCAGAAACACTCCACTCTGGCATTTATTTTTTTACCAGTGTGGTCTGATAAACAGTAAATTCCTCAAATTCAGGTTAAAAACAACAACGCATTTGGTGTTTGCAAACGGAAATGATGTAAGAGTTTATTTACATATAGAGCGGGGAAATAACATCCAATCACAAGTTGTCAATCGAGACATGTTAATGCCAGGTGTAACAGCCTCTTAATATCGTCCCCAAGTGCATTTTCTCCTGTATGAGTAACGTTTGCTAAAAACTACAGTGTCCAGATGTTTCCGGAAATTACTGAGCTAAGTCTTTTTAAAGTCAGTAGAAACCAGTGGGCTTGGGGCTGAGTGCCACAGACACTACGAATAAAGAGATTTAATATGGGGAAATATTTCTAGTCTGATTCTCCATTCTTACACCACTTTGTTATCAAATATGTACTATATACCATCTTAAGAACCTAAAGATTCTATAAAGCAGTTTCAGGTTTTACTCTGTTCAGATGACATTAGCGAATTAATAGATTAAAACAGAAAAAAAACCCCCACTGTGGTGAGACTAGTCAGGTGTGGGCTAAACTAACACTGAGAACCCAAAGCCTGTTTTAAACCCTGTTTCAGATTTCTAAAACCTAACCTACTTGTTGCATAGAGCTTGTTTTTGAGTCCCCTGCAGATCATACTGATTCAACCCTGTAATGACACACACAGGTGCATGTGAGTTAATGAGGGCTCCACATACAGGCCTCTGTGTTCTCAATCTGTGCTGGTCTGTCAGAATGAATATATGATCGGGTTTTTTTTGTTTCTTTTTTTTTTTTTTTTTTACATCATTTTCAAAAAGATGTGGAATGTCATGCTGTCATCATCCAGTGTTTCCCATTAATTAACGAGACTATGGCGGCCCACCACAGTATAGTTTGTTCCACCATAGTTTCAAAATGAACTCGAGACAACCACTTTTCTTTTGAGGCAAGTACGGTAACGTTAACTAAGGGTTTCAACAGCGTTGTGTTTCTGCTGTCTTTCGTCTGAGAACACAATCGTGCTAGTCGCTAGATTTGGAGTGCACAAGTATTAGAGCCTTTATGGTAAATGCAGTTAAAAGGAGCAGAGCAAGCTGAAAGGCAGGGTTAACAACTTTTCTCACTTGGGAACAAGTGTTAAGGGTGTGAGAGTCTTACCTGAAGAGAGGCTATTAAGTCTTAATTGTACGATACGAGCACAACATACAATATAATTTATCAAATTGCGTCGGACTTTGTGAATGTAGCGCGAGGATACACATGTGACTAAGTCCGGTTTTCAAAATAAGGTGTTAACACAACATATACAGTATATAAATAAGATTAATTGGATTATATTCACAGGAAGTATAAAACATATTACATGTGTCAATTTAATATAAAATAAAATGGAAATTACTTTGATTCTTTGATTTATTGTTGCTGGAAAAACATTAAATAAATTAGTTGACTTTTTTGCTGTTTCATCACCAAATATATCTATGCAGTTTGTTTATGATCAACTTGTTTACTAGGGTACAAAATTGTTAACAAGAGTGCAAAGTTCTTCATAGATCTAGCCTCTTTATTTTGCTTTTAAAGTGCATCAAATTAATACACATAATCTTAAAATGTACAAATCTTTCTTCCCGGGGGCATGCCCCCAGAACCCCCTAGAGGATCGATGTCCACCCACCATAGTCTCACAAAATCCTGTGGGAAACACTGCATCATCTGTGGTAGCTCACCAAACGTTTCAAATGTAAAATCACTCCTGGTGGTGTCTGTAATTGTATGTATGTGAGTTTAGATGACATAGCAGCATACAAGAACATAGAGGACTGAGGGAGTCACTTCCAGATAGCTGGGAATCAGCTGTAAGTCCTGGAGTGGTAAACTGTCAGACGCGGCGGAAATCAACCGGCCTGAGACTGGAGGCCACAAAGGACATGTACAAAAATCACAAAGTTATAATAAGGATATATTTATATATGTATACATACAGTATTTCCATATATTAAAAAGCATAATATGAATTATACAAAGAAATAATATTAACATTTCACAGTAGCAGTTGTTACACCACCTCAGGTATTCTAACATGGTTGTGATTCACTTAAAAGAGGGAGAGTGACAAGAAAATTTGGCAAAAAAAAGGTGAAAAGGACATTCATTTTAGAAAACAAGGTTCCAAGATCTTGGTTCTTGTGATTAATGAGTGGTAATATGAGTACTAGAAATGAGCAGGGTGGAGGAGGCCACGCTGAGCTAAAGTCAAAAAGCATTTTGTCACTGAGGCAGAGAGTTCATGTCTTTCTCCGTCCACTGTCTTAAATCAACTGGTAGAACAATGTTCTTCACAGAAGCAGTTGGTTTAATAAAGGCCAAAGCCATGGAATGTCAACATAAATCAGAGCTTGAGTGGAGAAAAGCCAAGTGAGTCAGCTTTAGTATAGGCAGTAACATTGACGTTATATAGTGCAAACAAGAAAAGACAGAAAAGTGTTTCTCGTTGCCTACTGAAGCTGTTGTGAAACTCAACACAGGTGCAAACCCTTCAGTAGGAGAACATTAAGACATAAAATGGCGAAAAAAATAAATATCAAAAACTTTTTATCATTGTAAAAAAGTAATTAGGGTATTCATTTTAACCAAGAGTCTGGCAAAAAGGCCTCAAAAAGTCTTGTCCACAATAGTTTCTTGACATTTTACAAAGTTAAGTGCCTCCTTTGTGGGCTCTGGGACCTCGCATGGTGTTTGGACCCATGGGATGCCCTCAGCTCAGCCGGCGGCCCCTGGTCCTCTCTCAGACCAGTGACTCCATGCTCTCTGCCTGTTCGGACTGATCAGACATGGACGCCATTGTCCCGTTAATGTCTCTGGCCAGAACACCTGAGCCGCTCTCCTTGGTGTTGACGAGGCTGAGCAGTGCTTTGTATAGGTACTGGTACTGGTCCTGTGGACCCATCAGCGACAGACAGCGAAAGCAAAGACAGAAAGGACAACAGGTCAGAACTAAATACTGTATGACCACCATGCTTTTTTGAAAAATAACAAACACAAGCCTTTCACCATGCATTATTTTTGCTAACTGCACAGCTTATCATGTAATATTGTTTTTCATATAACATGTACTTGACAGATGTTGCTAAATCCTTGTCAAGTTTACTAAATTTTTAGTTTTAACATTTTTGGGGTTTTCTGTAATCAAGACAGGGCCAAAATTATACATACAGGGTAAACATACAGTGGGTACGGAAAGTATTCAGACCCCTTTAAATTTTTCACTCTTTGTTTCATTGCAGCCATTTTCCAAAAATCAAAAAAGTTCATTTTATTTCTCAGTAATGTACACTCAGCACCCCATCTTGACAGAAAAAAACAGAAATGTAGAAATTTTTGCAAATTTATTAAAAAGAAAAACTGAAATATCACATGGTCATAAGTATTCAGACCCTTTGCCGTGACACTCATATTTAACTCAGGTGCTGTCTATTTCTTCTGATCATCCTTGAGATGGTTCTACACCTTCATTTGAGTCCAGCTGTGTTTGATTATACTGATTGGACTTGATTAGGAAAGCCACACACCTGTCTATATAAGACCTTACAGCTCACAGTGCATGTCAGAGCAAATGAGAATCATGAGGTCAAAGGAACTGCCTGAAGAGCTCAGAGACAGAATTGTGGCAAGGCACAGATCTGGCCAAGGTTACAAAACAATTTCTGCTGCACTTAAGGTTCCTAAGAGCACAGTGGCCTCCATAATCCTCAAATGGAAGACGTTTGGGACGACAAGAACCCTTCCTAGAGCTGGCCGTCCGGCCAAACTGAGCTATCGGGGGAGAAGAGCCTTGGTGAGAGAGGTAAAGAAGAACCCAAAGGTCACTGTGGCTGAGCTCCAGAGATGCAGTTGGGAGATGGGAGAAAGTTGTAGTAAGTCAACCATCACTGCAGCAATCCACCAGTCATGGCTTTATGGCAGAGTGGCCCGACGGAAGCCTCTCCTCAGTTCAAGACACATGAAAGCCCGCATGGAGTTTGCTAAAAAACACCTGAAGGACTCCAAGATGGTGATAAATAAGATCCTCTGGTCCGATGAGACCAAGATAGAACTTTTTGGCCTTAATTCTAAGCGGTATGTGTGGAGAAAACCAGGCACTGCTCATCACCTGTCCAATACAGTCTCAACAGTGAAGCATGGTGGTGGCAGCATCATGCTGTGGGGGTGTTTTTCAGCTGCAGGGACAGGACGACTGGTTGCAATCGAGGGAAAGATGAATGCGGCCAAGTACAGGGATATCCTGGACGAAAACCTTTTCCAGAGTGCTCTGGACCTCAGACTGGGCCGAAGGTTTACCTTCCAACAAGACAACGACCCTAAGCACACCGCTAAAATAACGAAGGAGTGGCTTCACAACAACTCCGTGGCTGTTCTTGAATGGCCCAGCCAGAGCCCTGACTTAAACCCAATTGAGCATCTCTGGAGAGACCTGAAAATGGCTGTCCACCAACGTTTACCATCCAACCTGACAGAACTGGAGAGGATCTGCAAGGAGGAATGGCAGAGGATACCCAAATCCAGATGTGAAAAACTTGTTGCATCTTTCCCACAACGACTCATGGCTGTATTAGATCAAAAGGGTGCTTCTACTAAATACTGAGCAAAGGGTCTGAATACTTATGACCATGTGATATTTCAGTTTTTCTTTTTTAATAAATTTGCAAAAATTTCTACATTTCTGTTTTTTTCTGTCAAGATGGGGTGCTGAGTTACATTACTGAGAAATAAAATGAACTTTTTTGATTTTTGGAAAATGGCTGCAATGAAACAAAGAGTGAAAAATTTAAAGGGGTCTGAATACTTTCCATACCCACTGTATACATAAAAACACATTATTAATTCAGTGGTGCTGAAAGTTTCAAAATGTCCTATAATTTGCCAAGCCCAAGGCCTCTTAACTTCCTGTTAGTGATCATGATTGACTACAGCTGGTAGCTTCTCTGTGAAAACATAAAAATTGTTTGTTTGACAGCACTCATTGGATTGACAGATACCCAGAACAATGGGAACGTCCAAGGAGCTCAGTGAAGATTTCAAAAACAAGATGGTAGATTTACAAATTCTTAATTGTCTCTTGGTGTTGTTAAGAATATATCTTAGGTGTCTTAGTTGTGTAACAGGGAAAGGTAAGACAGGTATAGCTTAGAGTATTTTAGCTGACCCCTAAGTGTTTATCCGACATTTATGACTTCAGGTAATTCTCACATGTTCTTGTCCTGGTCAAGATGACAACAACAGACTGATTAGTTAGAGACAGTAGCTCAGACGTCAGGCTAGCAGATATCAGTGTTCTCTGAGAATCTTACAAGGTTAAGTCCAACAAGAATGTTTACAAGAACACACTGGCTCCACAGATTAGAGTACAACTAAGGGATAGTGAGAGATTCCAATGTGGCGAAGCATTGGAATCTAAACATCAGATAGATTAGTTGTTCTAGGTGAAAGGTGACCTAATAGAGAAACCTACAGGCACGAGGGGGAAGACGGGAACAAAAGGGACAAAAAGATGTTATCCTTCAGATTTGGTGTTGGCATTGCTTGTGTTTACACGTTGGATGCTGACACTGTTTCTCCTTGGCCAAGTCTCATTATACTTTGCAGTGTAAAACTTTGTCAGTCTCCGAAAACGTTCTTCTCCACACCTGACAAGTGGCTCACAATGTTTCTCAATAGGTGTCATTTCTAAACAACTGCAGATTCCAAGGTCATCGGTTCCAACAATTGGACGTAACTACAAGTTATAGGGAGGTGTAGCCACTTTGACAAGGTCTGGAAGAAAACCCAAATTGTCACCCTCAGCTGAGAGGAAATTGGTTTGGATGTGAGGAAAAACCCAGGAACCACCAAGGCGCAGGCCTGCCATGAACTTGAAGCGGCTGCCATCCAAGAAAGAAGCCATTGCTCCAAAATCAACAGCTTCAATCCATATAAAGTTTGCAGCTGAGCCCATGGATAAAGGAAAAGCCTTCTTTTACAGTCAGATAAGACAAAGATTAAGTTGTTTGGCCACAATGGTAAGGCGTTCAACCCCAAGAACATGTACCAGCTGTTAATCGTGGTGGTGGTAGCATTATGCTCTGGAGCTGTTTTGCTGTCAGTGGAACTGGTACATTGCACAAAGTGGATGGAATAATGAAGGAGGAGGACTACCTTTAGAATTATTTAGCATGATCTCAACCCATCAGCCAGCCAATTGTGTCCAAGCAAGAAACTTGGACACAATTGGCTGTTGCGACAGGACAATAACCCCCAAACACACATTAAAGCTGCTTGTGGAATGGATAAAACAAGCTATCATTAAGCTTTTGGAATGGCCTTCCTAAAGTCAAGACCTCAACCAATCAGAAATTTGTGGACCGTGCTTTAAGGTTGAGTCAGGGCCAGGAAACCAACACAACTTGCTAAGGGACATTCTAAGCCGTGTTGATTAAAGAAAATCACCAATTAATTAAAACTTGTGAACCAAATCTATGTTTTTTTTCTATTAAATTTGTATGTTGTACAATCATCCGGCCCCAGAAAAAACAACAGTTCAAAGACATTATTGAAAGCACAATATCGCCATGTCTGTGATCAGTGTATGTAAACTTCTGACCGCAGCTGGCCACTCCTTTTGAACAATAAGCATGACCCTATAGCTAGGGCTTGTTAATGAAAACAGAATATCTCAGGGACGGCTGGGTATCATTTTAGTTGCAGTTGTCAGACTCACAATGTCTGTGAAGACTCCTGGCCTCATGAGGTTGATCATCTTGGCGACTTGATAGACATCAACGGCGCCCTCGCTCTCCAGCTGCTGAGACAGTGTGGTGAGGGCACACAGCATGCCGGCTGACACTGCTCCTAACCTGACAAACGCACACAGTCACGCTCTGGGGTTAGCATGCATCTCCACAATGATATCAGAAAAACTCTCTCTAGTAAGTTTCCCCTCCACTGGTTCGTCAACATGTCGTTAATTGCAAGTCAATGCGGAAACAGACATTGATATGAAGGAACTGAAGGATACAACATCACGTGATCTTTGCGCAAAAGGCTGCAGCATTTTATTGTTTCATTAATGTCTTAATGTAATCATAGTAAAGTTTGGAAGTTTGCTGCTTTGAGTACCTCTCTCTTTAGGCAGCAAGTGTGGTTGTTGAACTACAGTGAGACTTAGGATCTTTATATGGTTCTTGTTCTGATTGGGACCAGTGAGTTCAATGTTGTCAGACAGAGGTTGTTAAAGTTCACCAGGAGGCCATTGTAAGAGATGAGAGGCAGTTCAGCTGAGAAGGGCCAAAAATGCATTTGAAGATTTACTAGCTGTTGAATTAATGATGCGAGGGCGGGTGACGGCCAAGAGAGGTTGAGAAATTCTCATGCAAGTGCATAACTACAACAACAAACAGTATGAATATTAAATAATAAATAAACCAAGAATACAGACCCGGTCATAATTAAAAGCAGAGAGAGCAGATCTGAGAATTCAGAGATAAAAAGATGACGTGTCTTTCGGACAGCTGGGTGACTGTCTGAAAGAGGAATAGCCCTAAGCATAAGGCCACGGTTCACCACCAACCTGTTCATGTTTCTAACAAGTTCTCCCCACTCAGCGACAGAGAAACCAACTCTAATATTACAAAGAGTACAGTCTAAATCTAATCTATATGAAAAGTGCAATGAGATAGCTTTTGTTATGAATTGGCACTATGTAAATAAAATAGAACTGAACTGAAAGTAATGGTCTTTTTGATTATATATATCAAAATCTGATTCAGTTAAATGTCCGTTAGCATTTGAGATGTCCTTGACAGCAGCTCAGCCAGGGAGCGAACACCCTCACAGATCAGGAACGTCACAGCTGAGATTAATTAGCAAGTGAATCCACCTGAGGACAACAGCTCTGCCCTGGGTAGTAAAAATGTTGAAGAGAGAGGTCGGTGGCGGCCTTGATTTTTGTTTGTCATTTGTGGGTACACCCCCAATTTAACTGTTGTTCCCCCCTGTGCCCCCCACTTGAAAATAATCTGGATCCGCCCCTGTTTGTTGGCTCCCTATCAACGTCAGATCACACTGTAAGATGATACTAATTACTTGTTACTTGAATACCTTGTATTCCATCACGTGCTCTCCACTCTCAAAATACAGAATAATACACGCAAAATACACAGTATATCCCCAGAGTTAAAAAGGTCAGCAAACTTCTTAAAACTCATCTTTTCGCCTTAACCTACAGTTAGCTGCTCGTTTACCTTGTACCTGTTCCCATTATCCTTCCGGTGGGCTGGTCGGTCTCAGACTCAATAAATTTATAAAGCATTGTACTAGTCCATGTTTGTCTGGGCTAATGAGAATAATGTTTACTTTCTGAAAATCATTCCATCTCTATAACCCCCTGTTTGTGTCCCACAAGCGCAGCTGTGTGCCCATCTTCTATCTCTCCCTAGTTTCTGATCCTTGTCCTCTCTTTTCACTCAAGCTTCTCTGTGCTGGGACCATGGTGTGCTGAGAGTTTTGCATCTTGTGTGTTTGTGTAGTCTTTCCTCTTTCCAGTTCCATGTTGTGGAGTGGTAAGGCTCAGATCCACTCTGTTTGACGACACCTAAAATTGCTCGCCATCCTCCCAGATCTATTCTTTATATTATGTTCCTATCTGTTAATCTTGCAATTCTGTCATTTAATTAATTACATTTATTGTGTGTTTGCCCTCCTCTCCCTGAAGGTCCTCTATTTTTTCCCTCGTTAAAAGTTTCTTTTGTGTGGAGTATTTCCTCATTCGAATCGAGGGGTCTAAGGAAGGAGGGTGCCATATGCTGTACAGATTGTAACGCCCCATGACACAAATTTGTTATTTGTGATATTGGGGCGATTGAAATAAAATTGACTTGAGATGTAACAGAACATTACATTTCAAATTATATTCAATTATATTCCATGACTCCCCCCAAAGACAATTTTTCAGAAGACACGAGAATGCATAAAAGAGCCACAGAAAGTGTTACCACTACATCTATTGATGTGATGACAGAATATAACAATAAAAAAAATGTCCGACTGACTCATCATGGACGATGGTTGGTCCATCCCTGGTGGCCGCCTCCTCTTTAATGATGCTGATGAGCTCGAACGTGCTACTGATAGGTGCGTCAGGGTTCGGCCATTTGGGGCACTGAAAGTGACGAACTTCTAATACATAATCATCCTGGTAAACAGACAGAAAGACAGCAAGAGAGAGAGAGAGAGAGACCAAAACAATGAGATTGAGATAGTCGTCTAAAGTCCAGTAATTACTACAGTATTAATTTAAACTTTAAACTTTTAACTTGTTAATGGACTAAAAAGGTCGACAAGACAAATATAGATAAATATAATATACTGAGGATTGTTTACATGATCTAAAAGGGCGGGATATTAAATATGTAAACTTAATAAAGACACATTTGCGTCGGTCTGGGCATAATTCTGTTACACAGTAAAATCTGATGGATGTTACTTAGAAGGTTTTACATTCAGGTCAAGGAGTTTGTGTTGCGCGAAAGTGAAATTTTCACTCGAGGGACGCAAAACCTGAGAGCAAGCAGTTTTTTAGATAGTGGGCAGCGAAAGTCGTGTTTCTTGTTCAAATCTACAGACCCAGTTCCTCTGGAGGCTCAGAACATTGGTCACTCTCAGAACTCTGTTCTCAGATCGCACACTTCTGGAGCAACTAGAGGTTAAGTGTCTTGCTGAGGGACACAATGGTGGATGTGTCGCAGCGGGAATCGAACCCCGGTCTCTCATACTAAAGGCATGTGTCTTATCCACTGTGCCATGGCCACCCCAATCCGCTATCCCAACCATCTTGTCACTGTGTTATTGGGCAGTAAACAAAGAGGAGGTTACATTTGCTATTCTTCCTGTTCTTCAGACTTGACATGTGACACAAATTTGACAATGTTCTATAGCTCTCATTCTCTCTGTGTCTTACACACACCAACACACACACACACACACACACACACCGACTAACCTGTGTAGCCTCCAGGATGAAGTCGTGGATGCTGATCTGCTCCTCATTGCACAGACAGAGTCGGTCTTCACTGATGAGGGTGACAGTGAACGCCTCGCAGTTCATGGCCTCTTCCCGACTGGGCCAGTACACAAACTCATCCTCTGCCTTCAGAAGAGCACAGAGACTGTTTCACTACTGTGTTTATTCATTACCTTAATTTAACAATGTATCACAGGATACAGTATTACAGTAGTATATGTTCTGTTATTAAAAATATCTACCGGTGGTTGAAAAGGTTCATTGAAAGTAATATTTGTACCAGGGCTGGACTGGGACAAAAAATCGGGCCTAGCATTTTTGGCCGAGGCGGCCCACCAAAATCAGGGGTCAGATTAGGGATGTGATGAAACACTGAGACATGACATTGCACAAGATTGGTGTCCATAACTGCAAAACAAGAATATATTGTACTTTTTTAGCATTAAACTTTTTTACCATTTTCTGCACCAATTTATGGTAGAAATGTCTATATTTTTATAAAGGGAAGCACAAAATTCAGGTGGCAGACATTACATTGCAGGTTTTCTTAAGTACAAATAAACCTTTCTCATAGCATTTTTAAGCTATTTTTCAGAACATTTTTAACAAATGCTTTCAAAAAGTGGTGGGGACATGTCCCCAGCGTCCCCAGTGTAAATGACCCTCCCGCCCTGCTCCCTCCCTAAAGGTTGAGCTACATGCTTACCGCTTCACCTCCACTCTCCTCTGGCTCTCTCTGTCCCTCAGCCCTGTCACTTTGTCCCTCTGTTTTGCTAACACAGGCCTCCTCCTCTGCCTGGCAGTGGCCACCACAGCTCTCCTTAACTCTTTCAAGTTCCTGTGCCTGCGGGTTCTGCAGCTGATGCATTTGGCAGGGCTCCGTCTGAAGATTATCTTTTGGCCCACAACGCAAGAAACAGAGAGCAGAGGGGGTGGGGCCTAATAAGAGATGTGATTGGGCCAGCCCAATGTCAGTATAGAAAATTACCAAATGGGCTGCAGTCCGTTTTTAAAAGCAGTTATAAAAATAAATAATTTACGTTACACTGGCCCAAAGGTGCGTCGGCCTACCGGGCATTTGCCCAGTATGTCAGATTTCCAGACCAGCCCTGATTTGTACTGAAATGTCCACTTTGATTGTGTAACAATTGTCTTGCAGCCAGTTGCGAAATGACCTCTTGCTGCTCCACGTCTCTGGTGCATAACACATATGATTCTCTAAATGTGCAGAAATTGGATGTTTTTCCATTCCTGCAGAATTTCCCCATATGTTGCAATTGAGGAAATACCATGTACAAGATTTATAAGATGCACTGAAAAAGTTTAGCTGTGACCCAAGCTTTCAATTACAGGCTTGGTAAAGAAGACCCAACTAAGTAATGTTCCAGTAAGTTGCACCTACAGTATGACTGGCAATTTGCAAAGCCTCATTGCACAGGCTCTACTGCTGGGCTACAAATAATGAAAGCTTTGTCAAAATGTCTCTTTCTAACTCCACACACCCCGTGCATTTTAGTTTTCAAACTTGCACTCTTCATCTCTAAACGATGCTGGCTCAAGTAACATCACTTGAGGCAAAAATATCACCTAACTGGCTGAGTTAGGAGGAACTAAGGTGTATGTCAGTCCTAACTTAAGGATTCCTAAGTTTTTGCCGTGCTAAGTATATTTAATTCATGAAACCGGATGTAGAAACAGGGTCAACCCCACCCCTTCTCTTATCTTACTGTAAGAGATCTCTCAATCCCTGGTAAAATTTGCTCTCAGCATCTTTGTGAATAGGTCTCGAGAGGAAACTCTTAGGGTACATCTTCACTACTAGTTTTAAAACGAAAACGAGCTCCGTTTTAGTTGCATATCAAATGATTCATGCACACTGGGCATGCACGTGCCAGTATAAACAGGAAGAATATTGTCTCCTCCGCTGGTGCAGAAGATTTTGCGATAGAAGAAAGCACTACTACAGACGAAGAACCACACTAGAGATGTTTTTGCATGGACCGACAACGAGATGGAAGTATTACTGAAGGACAGTGGGAGTCCAGAGTGACTGTGGTGGCGGAAAACAGACTGGGAGTTGTCACAAAGCAAATAGAGCAACATGCACAGCACAAGGGATGAAGTGTTATTTTGCACAGTACAAGATATTTTGATAAAAATCCAGAAACAAATACAATGTAGATTTATGTATTAGCTATGCATGACTGATAAGAAAGCCAAATGTGAGTGTCTGTATCATCATTTTTAAAGTCCTCTGTTTTCACATTTCCTCACTAAAAGGCTACCCTGGAGTTTTACAATGAAAATGGGGTCAGCAGCGTTTTCAGACAGATTCGCCGTTTTATTCTGGACTTGAGTTGCAAAAGTAGGAACTGTGTTTTAAATTAAAACGTAGTAGTATAGATGTAGCATTAGCTAGGAACCTTTAGCGCCATTTAGGAGGACTCTTAGTGGTAAAATAAGATCCTTTGTGAATATGTCCCCAGATTTAGCACTGCTCCCTCTGGAGCCACAAAAGGCTTTATCCAACTTTTTAACAAATACAGTCCTACTTCTCAACTCCTGTAAAAACACTTTGGTTTATAAAATCAGTGCAGTTCCTCTTTAAAGTGCTATATCCTTCGGCATCCACTCAGTTGTGATCCTGCAATTTGGCTATGCACACATTTTCTGAAACTCATCATTGTTTCATGCTTAAATGACTGTGGCACATAAAACCACCGTGGAATAGCAGGAGATCAGTTCTGCCAACTTTTCTCCACTCCACAGGTTTTAAATATCCTCACAACACAATGTAACAATCCTGCTGTCCTATGGAAATCCTGCAGAACCCACAGGGCACAGGATCAGTGAGCAGATGTCAGCCTATAGTGTGTGCATATAAACATCGTCGGTGTTCTTCGAGGGATGCACATGAGTGTATGTGAAACTCCTGCCTCAAAAGTCAAGGAACTGTGAGACACACACAGGTGTTTGTGTTGGGGTGACTAACCACCATTACACATTACACTCATGGAGGCGTGTGTGTGATTCATAATACCTTAAACACAAGCTTAGGGAGGTAGAAAACGCACAGGCATACACATGCTTGCCAAAGTGGTAGGTTGCATTTATCACTCTCCAGTGTGTGTGTGTGTGTGTGTGTGTGTGTGTGTGTGTGTGTGTATTTCCTACCAGTCCATGGTTGGCAGGCAGCATAACAATAATTTGTGCATTGTGGTCCCAGATCATTCTCCAGAAGTCTTTTGTAGTGTGGGGCAGAGGATGCTGGGTAATGATGAACTCATTACTTCGGTAGTAACCCTGTAAAAAATGTAAGAAAAACAACGGGTCAGTGGGAGAGTTACTCCACACTGTTTTCCACCACGTTCATTTGGATTTGGGTTCCACTTAAAACACTGTAAACACATACTCTAGACATTACTGCAGGTGAAAGGAAAACGCTGAACTGCTGTTAGCTGAGCTATGACTTCACGCTTTCCTAGAACAACAAGGGAGTGACCTCACCTGACAACGAAGACCAGCTAACAGCACCTGGCAACTAAACTACCTGCTTTTTAAAGGCTTTTGGTTACTCTTAACTGCTTTGTTAATATTTAAAGGGGCACTCCAAAATCCTATACATCAAGGTCAGTTTACTAGTCATGGAGAGTACTACTCTTCAGAGTACTACAAAGTTGAAGGTTTTCTTCAGCTTTGAGAAAATGTCATAGTCAAATCATCAGCGGTATCTCAGCCAAGCTTAAGACTTGAAATTTTGAATAGACAGTTTGTGTTACAAACTGGGTCATGGAGTAGAGGTCTTTATGGTTAGTGAAAATATTATTCATGTTATTTGGGTTTGGGTAGGGTCCCATTTCATTGCTGTGGGTCTTAGATCTATATGACGATATGTCTAGCTTTTTGAGGAGGGACAGAGTATGACATTTGAAGTGCATTGTCTCTCAATTTGAACATGTTTGGACCAACCACACTCAGCCTTTCGCAAGTCCACCAACTTTATACAAGTGCAGCACAAAATTGCTGGAGTATTCCCTTAAAGGTAGAGTCCCTGATTTTGTTATACCAACCCTAAATGCCCGAAGTCCTTCCGCTTTACATGATGTTCTGAAACTTAACTATGAGCAGTGTTGAGTGAAAGTATCAACTCGAGCTTGGAAAGAATTTGGGCATCACTATGACAAAATCAGGGAGTGTATATTAAAGCACACAGCCAGTGATAGTGACTGAGTGTATTTTGACTTGCTTTAACCTGCTCTGAGTCAAAACATCAAGGAGAGAGTGGAAAGATCAATTACTGACAGAAGAAGTGAAAGTGCTAACCATGATGTAAGAGGCGTTAATGTAATCGGTGCCTTTGATGCCGGGCAAAGGTGCAAGGCCAACCCTGGCTCGCTCCGCTGCTTACAGATAGACAGAAGGGGGGGGGGGGGGGGAGAACAGCCAGTTACCAGTTTATTATAACCAACCATTTGTTCATTCATGCTTTTGCTGTGCTGTGTTTGACATGTATGATGGAAAAGATTTTGTTTAAAGGTTGGTGCTGGTTCAGTTATAGAAGTTGCATTGTTTCAAGAGCACAGGCCATATATACAAAACATACAAAAACAAAAATATAAACTTACAGTTTGTGGTCAAACTTAAATCTGTGTTAAATAGCGCAGAAATACTCTTTATGGTTCTCTACAGGTTCTTAGTGTTACACTTACAAGGCACCACGGAGGAATTTCGATTTTTCTCTTTGTTGCACTCCTTCTGAGCGTTGAAGCATTCCACGAATCTGGCATTACACTGTGTTACCAACTAAAACACAAAAGAAAAAGAGAGAGCGGGTGTGTCCACTTGATCAAACTTTCAAATGGCAGATCATCTCAGGTTTTATTTTATACAAACACAGATTTTGAGAAATATTTGTTTCCATCTTAAATTAAATCAGCAGGAAGGTATACAGTATGTCCCGTAGTGAGATAAGTCCAGTGTTTTGTATTTTCCCATTAATTATTTTTTTTTACTTGTCTGAACCTGAACCAGAACTAGTCATCTCCATGATGGCTAACCATAACCAAACCTAAACCCTGGCTCCAACGACAGAGAAGTTATTAAAAGGGTAAACAGATTCCTCCTGCCTCCAGTCTTTGTGCTAACATAGGCTAAACACCTTGTTGATGTTCTGTGTCCCTACCAGAAGTGGAAACTTTTTCAACAAAAAACAAAAATGTCTTGTTTACATGTTGTATCTTTGAAGTGTGGTGTAGAGGGATGCTTTTCAATAAAATAGCTTCGATGCATAAGATTTTTATTGTTCACCCCTACATGTGTGAAGAGTCTATGGTTTATTGGTTTAAATCAAGACACGTTGTATGTCCTTAAAACCAAGTTCACGTTCTACATAGTGCCAGTCAGTTTTTCTGATGTTTAGATTCCAAAGCTATGTCATGTTGGAATATATTACTATGCATGAGTTGCACTCTAATCTTGTAAGATTTCCAGAGAATACTGATATCTGCTAGCTTGACACGTGAGCTACTGTGTCTTATCAGTCGTACTGTTGTCGCCCTAAGGACGGTTACATGAGAGAAATTACTAGAGCTAGAAGGTCAGTGAACACACACTTGTAGGGTCAGCTAATGACTTTGAGCCAGACCTGTCTTACCTTTCCCTATTGCATCAAATAAGCCCCCCTAAGACATGTCTTTAACAATATCTTTAACACACCAAACCAAACTGGCTCACAGAAGTTGGGAAACAATCACAAAGACCAGAAGAAAAACCTACAAACGATGACTAAATTCAGCAGCAAACAATTCTAATCCTGTCATGAAGGCATAAAAGCATTACCATAACAAAGAAAGCTTTCATCTAGTCTAGACATTGGACTCGAACCAAATTGTGATGAAATAACAGTAATCGCAGTCCTGTTGTCGAGACTTTCAACCAACCCTAATCATTCCCACAACTACTACAAACCAGGGCTGGGTGAAAAGGAAATCTGAGAAATTGACTGAAGTATGAATAGATAACAAATAATATTGTATTATTATTTTAATTGATACCCTGACGTGTGCCACAGAGGATTAACACAGCATTAGTCTTGATGGATTCTCATAAAAATGTGTCATGGAAATGACACAAGGTTTATGCTAAATGGGATGAATGTGGAAATCATTCTAAATCTCATCTCGTCCCTTCACCTTGAACTGTTTCTCCAGATGCGTCCGGCCGCTGTGTCCTGATGTCATGATGCTGTTGAAGTAGCTGTGAAGCTGGCTGGCCGCCACTTCCGTCACCTTCCCAGAAATGGTTTCCACCAAGGCATCGTGGATGAAGATGTACTGCTCCTGGATCAGCCAAATGGTGACAACACACAAAAAGAGTGTTTAGCAGCTGGTATGGCAGATCATTGTATAGATGGACTGACATACTGTACATTCACATACAAATGGATTTTGTGTTTGGCATGCCTGAACCATAGATTCACATTGCAACTGTAATTTTGCAATAAGATTAAGGATCAGTTCTAACTGCATTTTGGGTTTTTCTTAAGACTTGAAAGTGATTATCCCTCCGTGCAAAGGGTTAAAAAAAGGCCAATTCAAGTTAAGACACACACACACACACACACTCACACACATACACACACACACACACACACACACACACACTCACAGTTAACATACACCTTTCTAAATAGGCAGTTTAGTTCGGGTGGGTGTGGTTTTGGAGTTAGGGTGGGTCATCCCTTGTCACTGGTTTGACAGTTCGATCCCAACCTTCTCTTGTCAACATGTTGAAGGGTTCTTGGGGCAAGACACTGAACCGGAAATTGCTCGTGATGGTTGCGTGAGTATATGCGTGAATGGGTGAATGAGCAGGAAAGCTTTTTGGATAAAAGATCTATATTAATGTAGCCATTTACAAAAAAAAATAAAAATGCCTAAACAGAATTCAGCACCCATGTTTAACACAGAACTTCACAGGGGCTGCTGCAAGAGGACACAGAGAACTCACATTTGACAGGGGATAAAATTAAAGTTATTGCAATCAAATCAAGTCAAAAATAGTGGAGATGTAGTTTTATTACAATTCAACTGTGCACTAAAATCCTCTACGTGTCCATAGTAGATTGTTTGATTTGGTTCTCTTTGCTAGCTTTAGCATACACTAAGGTATGTGACTTCACTTTTGTGAAATAACTATTCAGATGGTCGCTCAGTCCTTTCAGGCCAAAGCTGCCCCATGGCACTGTGGTTTATAACAAGATAGCTTGAAAATGAGCAACTCTTTCTACTGAATATTCGTGGTTCATCTGGCTACTGACCACATTTGCATAAAATTCACTCTCTGGAAGATGAATTCTACTATTTTGGTGACCGTGTAACCTTAACTCATTAGCCATCCTCAGGACAAAATACCTTTATTTGCCCTTTTACCTTTAATTAACCCTCAGTAACACAACATTTGCTCATGCTTTCCTGTCAGCTTTTTCCATTCCAGTCCATATGACCTCTCTTATGGTGCCTTAAAAAAGTTGTTAACTTTGTAACAAAGATACTGCCATGAATTTGGTATTTATATGGTCCCAAGTATAATCATGATGCCTTTACATACATCAAAACTTCCACTTGAACAAAAGAAATTACATTTGAGTATATTTTTCCCTCAGCAAACGTGAAACTATTTGGGTTTGGTAATTCCATGAGCCTATACCTATTAGGATGCAGGTTTGACCCATGTCACTGTGTTTGTCTAAATGGGGTAACAGTGTTTATGCTAAAGCCACCAGAGGAAACTGATGTACATGCATGTGTGCTATGAAAGTGTGTCCCAAACATCTGGTTCACACAGATATACAAACCTCAGTCTGGACTAGGTAGTTGCGCTGTGTGCGTATGTGTTTGAGGAAGCCAGGTACATTAACTGTGCTCTTGTCTGTGATCTGCTGCAGCATGCTGTCTATGACGATGTACGTCCCCGTCCGACCCACTCCAGCACTGCAACACAACACAGTAACATTGAGCAACAGCAGGGAAATCCAAAGAGGTGAAATAGAGAGAGAGAATGGTTTTTATATAGGAAATAAGCATTCAAATGAATATAAAATAATCATGTAGGACTGATGTGACAGCACAAGGTACTTCCTGTCAGTAAATGAGGGATTCAGACTTCAATCAGGGATATTGAAATTACATGGTCAGCACCTTAGATGCCTTTTCCCATCACGAGTTACGTAAAATTAATTAAATTGCCTTTTTAACAAACCACTACATGCAAATTCATTACTAGCACACTAATGTAGCAAAAAGAAAACACTTAAGTACACAGCAGCAATTTCATAGGCACACAACTTTTCATGGCAGGTAAAGGCAGAATTGTCTACTTGATGTCCTGCAGACATTCTCATTAAAGCTGTATGCCTCAGTTTGACTGCATGCATGTAATTATCTTGTCATGACAGGCTGTGACTGTATTTCAAAGTGCTTAGACATAACTGTGAATTAAATTTGACCAAGAAATTTTGACAGGTCCTTTACAGGCATGATAGTGATGTTAGCGTATGAACTCTCACAGTCAAAAGGAATTGTATTTCATAATTGGAATCTTCCCCCATTTTAGATTTTTTACTGTTTAGAACTGAGCAATTAAACTAGGAAAAGAAGAGCATAATTAAAAGAACAGCAGAGAAGTGTTGTTTCTTCAAGTTGACAGCATGGGCACTGATACAACAAACACCTATACTATACTTACAAATTCAGCACTTTAAAGTGGTCATATTATGCTCATTTTCATCATTTTATTTAGGGGTTTTACCAGAACAGGTTTACATGGTTCCATTTTCAGAAAACACCATATTTTTGTGTCATACTGTACATTGCTGCAGCTCCTCATTTCACCTTGTTGAAGGTTGAATGATACATCTTGCCTCTAGAAGATCTTCGCAGTTCCTAGTTAAGGACTATTAGCCAATCAGAAGCAGAGTAGGGCGGGTCCTGAAAAGCTGTATATCCCCTTACCAGCTTAGCAACTAGACTGGAGCAAGATTATCAGAGTGGTGAGTTATTAATTTGGAACAAATGTATCTTTCATCCATAAAGTTTTAACTGAGCTCTGTCTCTACATCACAGTAAAAACTTTATGTCCATTGACTGCCTGGAGGGTAGCTAGTGTTTGGAAGGGAGAGGAGAGGTTTGTGCTGCAGCTCATTATGATGCAAATTTTGCTGTGATGTCACAGGGATCAAAGGGAAAAGGCTGGACTACAAACAAGCTGTTTTCAGGCAGTTCAGAGCAGTTTTTCTGTGGGAGATGGGAACTCCCTTTGGGGTGGACTTTGGACTTTTTCACTCAAAAAAGAGATGTAACTCAATAAAGGAGAGGGGAAAAGCCAAAAAGCACAATATGACCTCTTTAAGTTTCCTGTTGCTTTATAGCAGCAGGGCATAAGGGTGAATGTGAGCGGGTCTTTGTCTGCTTGCTTCTTGCATAGTGAGTGGGAGTATGTCTCTGTGTGTATGTCCCAGTACAAAATGGTAGTAATGAGTAGTGTGTCTGCAGCTACTGCGGTGAGGCAGTGTGACAAGTTATTATCAACGTCCCAGTGCAGATGATAGTCGAGAGCTTTATACTCATTACCCTGGGGGCCACAGTAATATCCTTAAAAATAAGCTGGCCACTGTAACTGCAGGTTCAGTGATGTTACTCAAACATCCAGCTGTAGGTTAAGAAAAGCACAAAGGTTTATATTTTACATTCATAGCTAGAAGTTACGTGTAATATATAGGCCTAAAAGGTTAAGATTGTAGCATTTCTGCTACTGTTTGGGCAGCATAACAATTGCATTCTTCACAAACACACAAAGGATGAAATTGATGCATTTGTTTCACTATAATCCAAAGTGCGGACTCGGGCTATTTGAGGGGAAGGGGCAAAAGAAATAAGGACACCAGCAACATGAGGTGCCGTATATGGCACTGCATTGCGTTTTCTCCACTGGAAGGGCATCCTAGAGGGCACTTTATCATATTTTGTCCCCTGAAAGGGGGTAATCAATGACCTCACACATATTATCCACCACCTTGACCTGTTTAAATAATGCAAGATTCAGTGACATACGTGTGTAAAAAACAAAATAGTTTAAAGTCTACAATGACAACAGAGTCTAAGTAATCTAGTTATGGTGAAGTAAAAGCAATGTAGGGGCATTACCTGCAGTGGACAAGCATGGGTCCCATGTGAGGCATCTGGGCGGCTGAGGACCTGCGGACAAAGGTGAGGACAGGTAGGGCGTACTCGGGGACACCCATGTCTGGCCACTGGGTATAATGATACTGGAGCACTGTCCGTTCACTCTGGGCCCGCGCCTTACAGTTCCCTTTCCCACCCTGGATGGAAGAAAAGAAGATAAGGAGAGAAGGAAGAGATGTTTATTAGGTTGGAGAAAAATAAAAAAGACAAGTTGGTTTTGAAAGCATCAAGTCAGAGGTACAAAGAAAGCACAATTTCCATTAACGTACTAACCTCTATTATATGGCCAGGGCTTGAATTTACCTACAAACCAAGACCAACTTATTTATGAAAGTAAATAAAGTAAAGTAATAGCTCATGAAGAATCTGGTCAGTGTAATTAAATAATTGTTTCAGATTACTGTAGTAGCAGATTAATTGAATCCTGGATTGGATCCTGAAATCCACAAGACTCTTAGTTCATGAGACGAGACACGAAATGAGTTGGTTCATGAGATCGAGACCAGACCACATTTTAACACTATTTTTAAGACATCTTCAATGCTGAATTATATGAAAATTTTGAGCATTAACCAGTTAATTACCAACATTCTGCTGAATGTTTCTGAACCAATTTATGGGGGAAATGTTTTTATTTATGTAAAGGGAAACACAAAATTCAGTTGGCAGCTGACAATTCGAAATCTAAAACTACAACAGAATATAATGCTGTGAGGCTCTCAGGCATTCTGTATCTCACCTAAATCTCACCACAAATCCAGAAACATGCTAAATCCAGCTCCTCCCATAACGTGCAGCTCACAGTCCCAAATAGAGAAAGTTAGCACTTCAGTTTTTAGATTTTTATAATGCAACTATACCAGTTAGTTAGGACTGGTCACAACCGTCTGGACTCACTTGATTTCCATCACAGCGTACGCGGTGTCTCATCAGCTGGGCAGAGTTGATCCACGCCGTGGGTCGATTTTCTCAGTTTTACATTTGTTTTTCACTGCGTGAGAAAACTCACGTGTGGCGTGACAGCATGTAAAAATGTCAACTCCTGGAGTCTCCCGAGACAGCTCGTCAGGTTTTACTGTCTACTAAGAGCTGTGTTAAGTTACTGCTGATGCCTGGATTTGCCACAACTTTCCATAACTAAGTGATTACCATTATGACACTGGAAACCAGCTTTTTATAAAGAAAAACTTGAAGCTAGAATTCTTTCCTGTCCAGACAGAAAGTCCCACTTCCTCCCTCTCATTCTCACCTTTTTGACTTTATTGTTGCGCAATGTGAAGCAGCGAACCGTGTAGCAGGCATGAACTTTAGTGCTTTTCAGTGTGACTACCATGTTGCCGTACTCTTCACTGTTCTCTGTTGGCCAGTATTGGTCACATTTTCTCTGTAGGAGAAACACACACACACACACACACACACGAATCAGATGAAATTACTGTCAACAAATTGTGGACAGTGTTAGAGAATGTGCTGAACCAAACTTCAATCACATTAATTATTTTCCCCATGAAGAAGGTCAAACAAGGCTAAACACATTCAGAACGGTACCAATGTGAGATAAAGTTTATGAAATAAATCCTGTGACCTGATGTATAAACCACTTCAACCTTTCCATTTGAGTTATAGCATGAACAGGGGCATGTAAAGGCAACTGCTTTTCTGCACTCACTGTGAACCACTTACCAAGAATGGGCTAAAAGCATTTGAAAACAAATGATCATGATGTGCCACAGCACATTATATACCTCAAGCCTTATTATAAGGCTGCCCATATAAGTCCTAAGAGATCATATTTCTCCCGTTTTAGCTTCTCTGCACTGGCTCCATGTAAAAACCAGAATAGAATTGAAAATCCTTCTCACATGCAAAGCCTTTAATGGTCAAGCACCATTATATCTTAAAGAGCTCATTATGCCAATAGAACACTGCACTTCCACAATCTAGGGTTACTTGTGGTTTCTAGAGTCTCCAAAAGTAGACTAGGAGCCAGAGCGTTCAGCTATCAAGCTCCTCTCCTGTGGAACCAGGTTCCAGTTTGGGTTCAGGAGGCAGACACCATCTCCACATTTAAGAGGAGGCTTAAGACTTTCCTCTTTGATAAAGCTTATAGTTAGGGCTGGCTCAGGCGAGTCCTGAACCATCCCTTAGTTATGCTGCTATAGGCCTAGAGTGCCAGGGGACTTCCCATGATGCATCTGTATGCATTCTTTTCTCATTAACTCAACTTCTTTAATCTCCCATAGTTCAGTTTCTTCATGTGTTTCTGCCTCCGTAGCTGTGGAGTCTGGATCTGTGGTTGCAAGGCTGCTACAATTATTATTATTAGTCATATTATTATTATGACTTGTATTGCTATCATTATTATTTTCATTGATATCTATACCTAATGTTTTACATTTCTCTGCGGATATTACGTTGGGCTAATGTGGCAACTATTTTTTCCTAAGCCAATACTGTGTAGGGGGTCTTTTTTCTGGGCTCATTGAGTGTATATAACTGAGTTTAACAAGTTATGAAACATTTTAGAACCTTGCCTTAAACATCCAAAAATCTACACTGAGTTTTTGTGCATGTCAGAACATACCCGGCCCTTTTCCACTAAGTTGGTGATCATGACGATGATGCCTGTATTTTGCTCCCACACCATCCGCCAAAAGTCCTCAAAAGTGGACTTGAGAGGTCCCTGGGCTGCAATGTAAGCTTTAGGCTTATTATAACCCTAACAGATAAAAAGAGAAGAGACAGGCTATTTGGCAATGTGTAGCAAATAGTTTAAATAATTAAACTATTACAATCAAAATTCATCCACAACTGGAGAAAATGTCTAAGATATATCTCTGGACTTTACACCATCCGCCAAAAGTCCTCAAAAGTGGACTTGAGAGGTCCCTGGGCTGCAATGTAAGCTTTAGGCTTATTATAACCCTAACAGATAAAAAGAGAAGAGACAGGCTATTTGGCAATGTGTAGCAAATAGTTTAAATAATTAAACTATTACAATCAAAATTCATCCACAACTGGAGAAAATGTCTAAGATATATCTCTGGACTTTATTGTGTTTGTTCTTGCAGTCATCCTTTTTGACATGATTTTACTTACAAACACACAGACACAGATCAGTATTTGAGTTGTTCCAGAAGAAGCACTCACATCCACATAGTTGGCATTGATGTAGTCGGTGTGTTTGGATTCCTTCCCAGCTAGTGGCCTCAGCTTCACCCTGCTGTGGTCATCTGAGGAGGAAACACAGAGCATTAAAACTGTCAGTGTGTTTGTGTGACTGAAACCATGGCAAGAGCATACCTCATGTCTAACCCTAACACAGTGCTGTCCATGTAATGTTCTTGGTGATCTTGGTGACCAGCCAAAACACCAGCTCCCTACAAGGAAGCACATTAACCTTTATGGTTGAAACAATGGTCAAACTGGGTTGTGTTGTGTTGTACCTGCAGCTAAACATGCAGCCATAAACTGCGTGGCACCTGCCCTTTGCTTCTGGCGTATACTCTAATAAACACAAGACTAAGCTGCCTTTAGCCACAACCAATCAGCTGATTTTAATTATCAACTTATGACTAAACTTGTAACTGGAAGACATTTTTGATTAGTGGTTCAACTAAAGATACTTTAGATTTATCAAGTTGGTAATATGATTTTATTGAGTTCATAGAAAGAAGTTGAATAGAAATTGTCAAAAAAGAAACATTTTGCTAACTGAACCAAATCTGCTGAACAAACTGGCATTAAATAAAAAAACTGCCTCATAAAACATACAGTGTGGAATTAGCAGTGGTTGGGACATAGAGTATGCTATAACTTACTAAACAATATATTTGACAATAACAATACATATGCTTAATATGTATTAAAAAAGGTAGCAACCAACCATCAAAACACCTGGGAACAGAATTTGTGTTTGTAGAATATATTTAGACATGAACTGACTTGCGTATCAAATATTGTATGTGTCTTTACATGTCTTAATACATATAAAAAATATTTCCCCCACATTCACTGCAGCAGTTTAAATTACATATATTTTGTGTACTACGTAAAGAATACAGTACAGTGTATGCACTATAGTGTGCTATGAGGTGTGTACTCACAGGCCACTATGTTAATGTATCTGTTCTTGTGCTTGTTGTCAGGGTGGTTGGAGTGCTCTGACGTGATCTTCATATCAGCAGTGCACCGTTGAACCTCCTGCGTGAGGATACACAGACACACCCCTACGTCATTCTGACATGTCTGTACACTTTGATGTATGGCAAGGTAACTTGAAAATGACTGGTTACATTTCCAGAAATTTTATTGTGGATGTCCCCAGAGGATGAACCCTAATACATCAAAAGTTTTATGCAAGAAATGTCTTAATCTAACGGACAAATTGCTATGGAATTTACTTTACATACCACATGCCTCAGAGGATGACCCCTTTTTGGTTATGTGAGCTTTGTTGTAGCATTGCACTCAGGACAAAATTTCTAATGAAATTTACTGAACATATTCATGCTCTGCTGATCACCCCATGAACTTTCCTCTCGTGACACAAAACCTGCTCTCCCTTCTACCTGTTTGGGCTGCCTCATTCTCTCCCTCTTTCCCTTTTCATTCTTTCTCTTTGGCTATAGTAAAGGCCCCCCTCTTCATAGCTTGTGCTTAAATAAGCTACATCCCTAGCTTGGTATAATAATTTATTTTTTTGACCTGAGGGCATGGTACTGCGTGTTGGAAAGTAAATCAATTACAGGTTTCACCCTGGAGATCTTTTGTAGTTTACTTCCTTTTTTCTCTTCATAATAATTCTCCTATGTGGATCCTGCTGTCCTAAAAATTACATAGAGCAATTCTGGGCTTAGCAGCCTGTGAATATATGTCAGTGTTTAATGTCACGCTCCTGCCAAGCAAACAGCTGTTGGCTGCTAGCTCAGCATGCCCAGCAGTAAGGGCAGGAGCTGGATTTGGCTCTGACCCCTTGGCCTCACTTCCTCTGCAGCTTTATAGGCCAACCGCCTTGTTTTTGCACTATTAAACATATTGATGTCACAGACAGGTGATGTGATCAGCAGATGGTGCACAAACTGGCACATATACACACATATATGACACTTAAACTCAATGTGATGACACTGTGATGTACTTTCAAGCACAGTGAAACAACGGTGTTCTTCGTGTGTCATCTGACCTAGCTTCATGAACCTGCTTCCGAACATGCTGAAATGTGGCTTTGTGACTTTAGTATGAACGAGTGACCATGTTGACAGATTGGTGACAAATTAAACATCTTACTACCACAAAATTAAGTCTATGATTAAGGTGACGGTCCACCAAATTCAGCTCTACTGAAGGAATGTACATCCTTTTTCTAGAAGATATCCCTTAATTTGGCGTTTCACTGATGGTGGGGGAGAGGGTTGTTTTTCTCTGCTTCAGTTTTTTAGTTTGGCGTTTGATACGTGCAGCTGATGGATAAGATACTGCCGATCCACAGAGAAGCTGGGAATGCAGCAGTTTACGCAGGCTGCTCGAGTTTCACAAGCACTTGTGCAGCTGCGACCTAAAACTTTGTTTTTCAACACTTAAAGCTTTTTTTCAGCTACATGTTTAAACAATTAAATTAAACCAGTTTCCGACAAGGTGTTTGACTATTTTAACAAAACCAAACCAACAAAATACTACAGAATGCATTCATGGTTTCCATATTATCCTTGAACATATTTTACTTGCCATGTTTGCCATGTTGCTATAATCACAAGATTATAAAAAGTACAGTCTACTCTATTTGAAAAAAAAAATATGGCTATTTTTTGTCACTATATAAATGAAATATAATTGAATTAAAGCACAGACAAAAACACATTTTCACGTTTGGCTGATTGACAACAATGCCAGAGCAATGTGCAGAAGACTAAATAGTTGTGATTGATGGCCTCTGCCTCCCTGACTCCACTTTGTCAAAGGAGAAGAAACTGGGACAACAGGAATGGAAATGATATGGAAGGATGATAATTTCATTTGAGAAGGGGCTCCCTTTCTGAAGCACTTTCCAGTGTCCATCAAGCCCAAAGCAGGACATAGGGAAGAGGACACCTATGGAGAAGACAACGATTAATCTTTTTCAAATCAAAACTGTGATTTGAAAGAACGCGATTAGGTAATCATGAAGACCTCAATTAAATGTAGGTTTATTATACAGCTCCTTTATGAGACAGATCTGCTCGCTACTCACAAGCTCCATGCGCCTCCTGTTATGTTTCTACTCACCAATCAGAGCGGGCACAGTGTTTTGTCCTCTGCCCAGCGTCAACTCACACTGGAAGTGTTTCTGCGGCGGAGCGTTGAGCCTGTCCTACGTTGTTGATGTGTTGTTAACACATTTTGTGTGCTTCTACTACTAATAACAGCTCTTTGTGAAGCCGTTTTCATTCCGTTGTCTGCACGACTTTATATCCCACATGGAGCATTTCAGAGTAAGAGCGTTTTGCCTGCTTGATTTTGTTGACTTGATTTCCTCAGTGCTTCTACCATGGTTAAAAAGGCTACATAGTTCAGTTGTTTCTTTTTTGTCTGTTTTAAACGTGCTTATAATTGATATATGATCGGGAATCTGCACAGGGTGTTTTAGTTTGAAAATTGTGACCCATCACAGTTGTGATGGTGTCTCAAGGTGTAATACTCCATGACATGTATATTCTATTACACAGTGAATACTGCACTTTAACTAAACTTTGAAATGAAATCATAATCGCAATATCTGGCAGAAATATCACAGTTCCCCAAATTTTCCCCAAATCGTTCAGCCCTAGTGTGAGAGGCTCAGTTTTCCCAATTAAGTAAGTCATTCAATTGGTCCATTTCAGTTCACCCACTTTTCTCTTTCTAGGAAGGGCATGGACCAGGAATACAGAGAGACTGGAGCAAAAATGATGAGTGAGGATGATAAAAAGAAGAGAGCATAGTATTTTCACAGACCACAATTGCAGAGGGACTGTTGGCTGGTGAGATGAAGGATGCAATGGTTATAACTAAACTAAATTGCCCACCTCCAACACTTCCCTCTCATTTTCTCTGTGATAACCATAATCATTCAGTATACAGCCTTTTTCTTCATTATCTCTTACTGTAATGGCAGAAATTTGTTTCTCCTTACATCTAATCTTTTATGTATGTACTTCTATTACTACTATTATTTTTACTATTATAGCTTATACTCATAAAACCACATATGTAGGTTTTAAGTCAGAGCTGTGAGACTGTTTTATTGGTTTCCTCTCCTGCCGTTCCTCTTCTCACCTTGAATGTTTTTTCAAGGCCGGGAGAGGATCTCTGTTCCCCAAAACATAGAAACCCGTCTAAATGATTCTGCATCCCTTTGCTCGGGGCCAGACACTCGAAGCTACCCTAAGCGGCAGGTCTCTGGACCAGCTGATTTTCTGTTGTAGTACTTCTCTGTTAATCTATTTTAATAAGAAATTCTTCTAAGACAGCGGTTTGTTGTAACTCAATTATTTGCTCAAGCCCTAACCAGCAATATTCAATTTCCTATCTCTGCTTTCAAAATGTGTTTGGTGTACATTCTGATGTACTGTGTCGCCCCTCCCTCCAGACCTCCCTCTAAAGTCGCCCCCCACCCCCCCCCCACCTCAAAAAACCCCACCAACACATTTTAATGCACAACTAGTGCACGGGTACAGTGTGTGCAGGTAGGCAGGAAGGTAGGTGGACAGGCACGTAGCCTGAATGAATTGATTGCATGTGCTTATTACAACAGTGCGACAGCCAAAAATTTATTTCCTTTTTGTGTCAGAGCATTTGATTAACTCATTGCTGTCAGAATGCAAAGAGAATTTCAACAAATATAACAAAAATTGCTTCTGGAAATGAATTGTCTAGCCTAGCTTTTAAGTGGCTATAATCAACGTCTTTATATTATAAGAAGTTTCAAATAACAATGTGAGAGAAGTTACTCACAGTGATGAACCTACAGATACAGAATCTGCAGCTTCCCTTGACTTTGCAGAGCTTTATAGCGAGTTTCAGCTCACTGTTTAATCGTCCAGGCCCACAAGTTTATTGTTTGATTCACTCTCATCTCTCTCATAGTGTCGTTTATGGGCCGCGCATGTAAAAGCAAGTTAGTGATTAACTTGTGAACATAGTGAAGAATCTGACTTACATTCATCATGTGGACACAAACACTACTACAAATGAATGACAATGTTGCTCCGTAACTGCAGGATGTGTAAATATGCAAATATTTGCTAACAAGTTTGCCACGTCAACTACAAAGGTCAATGTTGTCTCAACTTGTATCTGCTGCCCAAAATAAATAAAAAAATTATGATGGCAGGTCTAAAATTTTCAGCATGGTTATATTATCCAAGAGTTTACTGCTCACCTCAAAATCCTCAGAGAATCCATGTTGGTTGTTTGAACAGAGTTCAGAGACATGTTTGATGAACTGCTTGACTGGAATGGCTTCCATGTCATCTGCATAGAAAAGACAAGATCAGGGTTAAACCAGCTTCACAGGAACAATAATTTACCCTGGAGCAAGAGTTAAAAAAGAAGATATTTGCAGATAAAACCTATTTTACTAAATGTTTTGTAATTGCAAAAAGTTCTTCATTTTTTGTTGGTGTATGGGAAACACACCCCTGGAGATTTCAATTCTATCAAACAATTTTCCTCAGTAAATGATACTACTTTCAATATCCCTTAATGTATTGTTTGGTCTACTGGAAATGACATCTGCCTTTACAGGGCAGTGTGGTGAATTCTGGATTAAAATTCAGATTTCAAAACTCTACTCAATATAAACTCGCTCCATGTGCGACAACCTCATCCTACAAATAAATACAATAAGAACAATTGTCTGCTGTTTCCTACATTATTGCTTGTGTCATGTCAATCACAATATATTATACTGGTTCTCTGTTGAATATTCTTACCCCCCCCCTCCAAAACATCTAGTTCATTGCATAAGTCATTACATGCAAAATGATTGAACACGCTGTCATAAGCTGTCTATTATACGTTTTTTTCTAAATGTGTGCATGGTGTGCCATGCAGTGCTGTGAAACAGTCACGACAACAGTCATGACAACAAATTATAGTACAAACATCAAAGGCACAAATGTGAATCCTTTCCAATCTCTTCCTATGTGTAACTTCCTAACTATGTGTACTGTTGAAATTTCTATATGCCATACAGAAAGAATGCAGCCTTGTGCGTTATCATTTGTCATCCGAACCTTAGTATACTGAGTACACTGTTATATTGACAACGTAGCTAAACATATTGACATGTTGTTTGTAAAAAAGGGCTTGTCCTTCTTCTGGATTCGAAACATGTTCCAAAGCGACTGAGAAAAAGTGTTGTTGATATTAAAGAACTCCAGCCCAGTGATGCTAAGAACTTGACCTGTCAGAGGATGGCGAACACAACAAGTTCCCGAGAATGCAATGGCCCACACATTTCAGCTTACACTAAAAGGTGCCATTAAACGCTCAAGCGTTCATTCAGTCATAATGAAAGCAAGAATGCTGGCACACGTTGTGAGGAAATTGTCAGTGGAAAATGAAGAATTGATCAAAAGATGTGGCAAAACTCTGGTCCGGGATTGTAGCACACGCTGGAACAACACTTTTGAAATGCTGAAAAGACTGCTGAAGACCAGATCTGAACTAAACCAGCTACTTGAGAATTTTGGCATGAACACACTTCTCACATGTGGGCTAAGCTGGAGTACCTTGTCAAGCTGCTTGAGCCCTTTGCTGTTCACACAGACTGGCTACAGAGTAACAGCCAGTCACTCTCACAAGTAATGCCATGTCTGCTCAACCTTGAGGCACACTCGCTGACAACTGCTGTTGGGAAGCAATCAGCTCAGGTGCTGCTGAAGTCCTTAAGAGAACGTTTCTCTGGCATTCATCCCGATTCCATACAGTTTGATGCTACACCAGCAGAAGCCTGCCTAATGGATCCAAGTGTTTTGCTGGTTCTTCTTCAATCACACAGTGCCACCGAGGAGGGCAGCACAGTCATTTGTGCAGAACCTGGCAGCTCAGTGTAACCCAGCTGCTTCTCAGTATGATGTTGCCACTGCAAGGGCCACTCAGACTCGACATAGGCCTATGTCTACTATCCTTGTTTATATTTGGAAAACGGAATGTAGCCTATAATTAACTTTACTTTCTGCTGAGTTATATATAAAATAAAGACATGATGCATTTGCAATCATCCTTATGACTCTACATTATTTAACTTGCTGTGTACCAGCCAATCCAGTCCTTTTTACCTATTGAAATACCTTTAAATGGACAATAAATTTCTTTATATTGATGCTTATTGTATGTGCCTGGAGGAGGTTAAATATGGACAAAGACAAAGTGCAATTGCCGATTTACATATTCATGTCTTTTCTAAGAACAGCAGCATTTAGTCTATGATGCTAACTAAATTAGCCAACTACTAAGCTGTGTGTGTGGTAACAAGTCTTTTTATCTAGTGTCTTCATTGCAGAGAATGAATGTTCAAGAACAGTCCAGTAACTGCACAGTTTTTCTAATATTATAATAATACGACTAATAATACGTCTCAACGGAGAATACTAGCCCGTGGTGCTTGTTCATAACACCGGAGAAACAGAACAACCACGTCTCTGGAGCCATGAGTTTTCCTCAAGATCAATGAGAAATTGTTGCTTGACTTCAGTACATCCATCTCTTTCTCACCCCCCACACACACACACCCACCCACTTGAAATCTTGAAAAGCAGCATTTGGAACAGCTGATTCATTCATAATGCAAGGGACTTAATTATTATTATTTGTACAATGTTGGACACGAGGCTATGTAATCTTAACATAGCAAAGCTGAGATGGAGCAGTATCTTGCCAGCTGTCTGGCTTTCATTGTACTACCAGGTACAGTACATGTGCAACTTAAATATTCAAATATTCACTGTATTAATGATGTCAAGTACAACATGTGAAGTATTGTTAAATAATTGCAATTAATTTACCATATTGCTGCGGCACCTGCATCTAGTGCTGCAGATTCCAAATCATTGATTAGCCTAGTTAATTTTGTAGTAACTCGATCCTCAAGTTTTTTTTATTTTTTCTATGATTTTTTTCACAGATTGAGCTCTCTGAGACTCCTGGCCCCCAAGCAATGTCATGTGTGGCTCATGAATGGGTTTAATACATGCCGTTCATGTATGTCTTCTTTATTCTGCTATTTCGATCTTTTCCGGCCACACTGCATCTCACCACAGAAGGAGAATTACACACATGTTCCAATCAAGGTTGCAGCAAAGCAGCCCCAAAACATCAGTGAACCTCCACCATGTTTGACTGCAGGGGCCATGTTCTTTTCTTTGAGGGCCTCATTTCTTTTTCTGAAAACAGAATCATGAGGTGCTTTACCAAAAAGCTTAATTTTAGTCTCATCTGTCCGCAGGACATTCTCCCAGAAGGATTTTGGCTTCCTCAGGAAAGGTTTGTTTCTATGTCAGCAGCGGGGTCCTCCTGGGTCTCCTACCATGGCGTCTCTTTTCATTCAGATGGCAACAGACACTGTTGTACCCTGCGTCTGCAGGTCAGTCTGAATTGGTTTGGAAGTTGATCGAGGTTCTTTATCCACTATTGATATGATATATGAACAATCTTTCATAATTTTTTCTCTATCATCCACGTCCGGGAAGATTAGCTTTAATGACATAGGCTGTAAACGTCTTGACAATGTTGCACACAGTGGACACAGGAACATTAAGATCTCTGGAGATGGACCTGTAGCCTTGAGATTGTCCATGCTTTCATAGATTTTGGTTCTCAAATCCTCACACAACTCTATTGTCTTTTTTTCTTTTGACCATGCTCAGTGTGGTACACACAGACACACAACAAAAGGCTGAGTCAACCTTTCTCCATTTCACATGCTTGAAATAAAATTATTTCTGGAGATTTTGAAAAGGTTTTGTCCAGTCAAATTTTTGGAGTTTTCTGTGGAATATCTCAGATCTGGCTTTTTGTCTCTGCCTTTTTGTTGTTGTTTGCAAACACAAGAAATAAACATTAGAATACCTGTCACGCTGTGTACCTGCCTGCCTTGTTTAGTTTATTCTCAGTTTTGTTATTTTAGGTTTTTCTGTATCTGTTATTTAGTCTGTCTTGGGTTTCAGCTTTGTCTTTAGTTTTGAGTTATCTGTTATTTAGTCTGTGTTTTGGTTCCATGTCTTTGTTCGCATTATTTTAGTTTAGTCTGCTCTGTATTCTGTGTTGTAGTTCTGTGTCCTCTGTGATGATCCCTGTGTTATAGTTGGTCGGTGTTTGTCTATTTACATGGGTTTCTGTTATTGTCTGAAGTTAGATTCTTGTCTGGTATTTTGTAACATGTGTTCTGTCTGTGTGGGTTGTTTATTTTGCCCCATGTCTGCCTGTCAAGTGTTCAGTCTGTTCCCCCAGTTATCACTCTGCCTGCCTCCCTGTTTTCCCCTGCTGTCGCTCTGTCTCGTTAGCCCTGATCACTCGCCAGGTCAGCTGTGTTGTTCCCGCCCTGCTCGTTAACCCTGTGTATATAAGTTTGCTGTTTCCGTTCAGTCTCTGTCTGGTCATTACAGTGTGTTGTGGTTTGTAGCCTGCCATGAGCTGTCGCCTGTGTAGTTTGTCAGCCTTGGATGTCTACCTGTAACATTGCCTGCCTGAACCTTGGCTCTGTGTTTACCCTGTGCCTCATTTTTTAGATTTATCATTGGACTCAGCCACTGCCTGTAAGTGGAAGCTGGAATGTTATTTTAGTCTTTTTGCTAAAAAAAGATGATTCCCAATTGATAATACAGACACACACAAAGAAATACTGAGTGCATTAAACCATCAGCCCTGTACTGTTAGTACTCCACCAATTTAGCACTGCACTTCTATAACTCTGTAAGACTCTCAAACTGGATGTGGTTTTAAATTCCATGCATTGTTTTCCCCTTGTCAAAACTGGAACCTACATTACCCACAATCCAACGGCTGACAGTTCAGTAAATTCAGGTGTGTAATGCTAGTAACACTTCTTGCTAGGCTCACTTCTTCCACTTATTCCACCATCCACAAAACTGAGACCTTTTGCTATATTTGCACCTCCAGTCCAGACTAAAATGGCAAAAACAAAGACCTAAAACGGAAAAGTTTGAAAACGCTACCAACCCTGTTTTTCTTCTAAGACTCTGGGTAGCGTTTTAGTGCGGACGGGCAAAAACAAAGGATTTTAGAAATGATGACGCAGACGCTCACATTTGGCTTCCTGATTGGGTCTGCCTACACTTTAAGCTACTGTGCATGTCGCCATTTACTTGTGAAGACTCCCAGTTTGTTTTCTGCCACCACAGTCGCTTTTAACTCCTGGGTTACATTCAGTAACGGTCCCATCTCATTAGTCCATGGGGGGGAAAATCTGGTCTGGTTCTGTCTGTAGTACTTTATTCTCTTGCCAAATC